TTCCAGAGGGAGCTTGGCACAGTTCGGTTAGAGCTACACTTGCTTTTTAAGCTCTGTTTAACAGTCTCCCTGTCTGCCCTGAAGTCTTCCAGTAGTCAACCCACAACATGCACCATGAAGAGGTGGTCTGTTGGGCAATCATGGCTCAGAGAGACCTTAGCCACCTGATCAATTGCTTTCACGAGACTCAGAAATCAAGCCCGTCATTCAACATCAACAGCTACTTTTGTGGAACTTTCCAATACATAGAACAATGCTAAGCAGAGAGATGTATATTTCAAAATTTTGTTCTGACTTATGGTGAAAACAAGCACCAAATGTGGGCATTTCATAAAGAACAGAAATACCAGATCATGTATTTATTTTAAAATATTCAGGCTCAGTTTTGTGTTACAAGTCCTCCAATAATAGTTAAATGACTAATGTCTGAGGAATAGGTCTTCTTTCAGGCATGCTTCTAATGATATAAGTGACAGTGGGGTTATGCAAAGCCTGAGTACAGAGGAAAGTCATCAGGAACAGCTCTGTGCATTTTGAACATCAAGTTTTCCTAACTTTAAACCTCAGAAAAGAGACTAGTAACTAACAGTCAGTGAAATAATCCCTGTGCAAGAGGAACTCTGTTCTCTTGCAGGAGGATTATTTCACAGTGCGTTTCTTCTATGCTGCTAACGACTGCGTGCCCATACAGATCAGACCACGCCTAGACTAAGGCCAGACTAAAAAAGGCAGAAATTTCAAATTTATTTGCAAGACTACTGTTTCTTCCAAGATCAACATGAAAACCCAAGAGCCAAAGCAGTGCAGGTGTTTAAAATAAAATAAAAAACATTTAAATATTAGCTGACTCTAGGCAGATTCAGAATGTTAGGAGATAAATAATGCCCTGGTAAAGCAACACAAACCAAGTTTTGTTTATCTGCATGTCCCTTCTTTTCTAGCAAAGTCTCACCACAGCTCTGCCTGAAAAAGGAAAATCTCCAAGATGACAAATTCTATGCAAACTACCTATGAAGGTCTGTGGAAACAGACTAGGACCTAACAGGCACAGACTGAACTATCATAATCATTCTGAAGAAAATATAAAACACAGGAGGGTCACATGAAAAAGCGTTGTTCAACATTATTAAAAAGTAATGGTAAATCAAATATTTCTGCAAAATTAAAACATATTTCTTTAAAAAAAATATCAGAAAGACTTACTTATGTCAACTAAATTTATGAAAGGACCAGTTAAAGATTTTGTGCAAAGGCAAGCAGAAAGTATAAGCAATTTCACAATGGGAACAGTTCTTCAGATGTATGCCAGAACATGCAATTAATTCAGCTATAAAATTGTCTTTATTTCTGTATTTCCCTCAAGTCATTTGCATGCAAGTTATTTGATGCAATATTGAAACAGAAGGCTATGTTATCACTGCACTCATGGCATTGTTTGCACAACTTCAAAACATCATGTGATAAGATAAAACACGCATTAAAAAGAAATCTTTTTTTTAAAAAAATTAACAACTCAAAGCAGCCAGTGATTCACTTACAAAATACGTGCCTTTTTGACTGTTTACTATTATTTGAATGTATCCTTTTCCTTTGTAATGCTGTTGCCTTGAGCATGAAACATACCAGCTGAATCCCATGTGAGTACCTTCCTGAAAGAATAAGCTAAGGACTTCAGATCAAAATACTGCACAGATGAAAAAAGTTCTATTGAAGATAATGACTAATGCTCTCTCTGCTCCAGATGAAACCTATTTATAATACTCAGAGCACATCCGAAGGCACATCTGAAGGAAACTATCACCCTCATTCTTGGGGGATAATTAAATGTGATTCGTAGAGCAAAATTTAACTATAAAATATTCTGAATACATGTGGAGGCCTGTTAAAACCTTGTCTAATTTCATTCACATTAACAATAAGCATTACATACTTCATTGTACACAGTAAACACAGGCACTGTGGGTTAAGGGTCAGACCAGCACTTTCCAGTTGTCATACCAATAAAATAAAGCTCTCCAGAAAGCTGAAATTCTGGCTGTTCATTTTTAGATGGACGACAAAGCAGGAAAATGTGTAAACTGATGAAGAATATGCTCCATAAAGTTGTGAGTGGCACGCATTCAGGCACGCGACAGACCCTGGCTCTGCGGCAACATACCTAGAAGAGAATTTGGCTTGACACTGCAGGACTTCACTGAAAAAAATGCACTTGGCAGCCAACCCTCGTACAGCCACCCAGAGAGCGAGCACGAGACCTCTGTCCCTCCCTCTACTCGCTCCTGCCCATCAGCACTGCTGTTCTCAACTGGAGTCTGGCTATGAGTGGGTGGCTTATTTCAACTCTGATCTGGTGTACCTAGGCTGCACAGCTGCAGAGGAAAGATTTAGGAAGTAATTCACTGCTGACCTGCATACAAAAAGCCAAAAACCCAGGAGGATGAATGAAGTCTGCCAGGCCTGCTCCCACTGTTGTGTGCAGAGATAACTTCAGCAGCTCTATCGCCTGATTTACGGCAGTTTACACAGGAAAAAAATTAGGGACATGACTGCTTATTCTTTATACTGGAAATGAAAGACATACTCAAACATGTAATTGGAGAGACCAAAGGATCCCCAGTTTCTTATTTCACATGTACCCAAAACAAGCTCGAACATGGGGACAGGGCACATTTATAAACCCCACTGTCTTAGTGTTGGACAAAAGGAGAGAGACAGTTTGAAGCAGGATCTGACAGGTTCTGCCACCAGGCAGACACAGCCTTGTTCCTCCCGCTCACATCAATGCCTACCAAATCCCAACATGGCTTTTTTTTTTTTTTTTTTTTTTTTTTCCTTTTTTTTTTTTTTTAAATAAAATCTTTCCTAAAAGGTATATGGTATAGGTTGCCATGTCCATACCAAATTCAAAGTACTCCTCTTGTAAGACACTAATTCATCACATTCTGTTGTTTCCAGAAACACCAAGAGGAGCATGTAGCATAGGATGTAATGTCTGTTTTCTACATGGGGTCACGGGAAGTCTGACCATTCAGATAATGAAATGGGAACAAGGAAAGCAGCCCTGTCTGACCTGCTAGCTGTCTGGTTTTGGAAGAAGAGACATGATTAGATATATGACAGTAGGCTTTACTTGTAGGAAAATCTGCACTAATTGCTCATACTTCATATATCCAGTTGTGTCTAAATAGCTTCTGGCAACAACAACTAGCTTATTTTTATAAGACAAAGTAACAGGGAGAGTAAGATACAATCTTCAGTTTTAAGCTGTTTTTTTTTTTTTAATTTCTTTTATTATAGAACTTCTAGAATTTCCAGTTTGTTCAAGATCCTGGTATACTGCTGTCCTAACTCCCTTCTATTTCTGCTATTTTGCCATATGGTGACCATGTTTTTATGAAGTAAAAAAGGCAAAACTTCTTTTACTTTATTTGGATCTGTCTTACGTGACTAAAGAGAAACATTACTTTGTAGTTTTAAACCTGACATTTTGCAGACAATTATTCAAAGAAAAATACCTGGACACTCAAGCTTTAATTATGTAACATAAAGCACTCTATTTGCCTTGTAATGGCTGAAGTAATTCTGCATCCCTGAGCAAAAGGAAATACTGAGCTTTTCAGACAGGAAGTTTTCCCATCCCTATCTGCCCTGAGGGTACTAGCCTATAATTTCCCCACAGGCCCAAAGGCACAGCATGCCTGGGTTGGAATACGTAACTATGAAGAACTACCAGAATAGGCGCCAGGGTCACCAGGACACAGGCTTCAAGACCAACAATTTGATATTAACCTGCCACAGGTCTCCCTTGCTGGAAACTATACAAAGAGAAGAGATGATGCAAGGATCTCTTTTGCTAACAGTGAAGAGGCTCACAAAATCTAAAATCCTGAGCCACAGAGGGAGGCAGTTGTGGGCAGCACGCACAGGCTTTGTGCCTTTTTCATTCTAACTGAAGGGCATGAAAATAGTCTCTCCCCATTGAGTAAAACATACTGGCTTATTCTGAAAAAGCCATCTTGTGTTGCTACAACATATTTCCCAGTGAGTTTTCTCAATGAGGGCTCATCTCCAATAACAAAGTGTATTCTTTAGGATTTAGAGGAGCTATAACAACAAAGTAACAAAACCCAATAATTTGTTCTTTGAGGATCAGAGGCCTTGGGCTGCCTCTTAAAAAAGGTAGGAATATAGAGCCTTGGTTAGAGGAGATATGCTCCCAGACTTACTGTATCTTGTAAGGCCAGAACAGCCATCATTGCTAATATATATCCTCCAGACATATTTAAAACAAATAAACAAACATCCATTGGAGGACGCTAATTAAAAAGAAAAATCTGCATTTTTTGCTTTCATTTCTCCAGCAAATATATCTGTGTATGTGTACGTCTTTCCTGTTCAGTCCACAACATTTTTTCCTATAGCCCATGGTATAAATGCCAAAAAGCACCAAAATGGAACAATTCAGAGACTGACTTAGTGCCCATGTAGACTTCCATAGTACTATACAGTTCTTAGGCAACCGCACTGCTAGATTCAAGTGCTTGGCAATGCTTCCTACATAACTGGTGTTTATTCTTTGCATTCCTTGCAAATAAAGTTATTTTATAAGAGATAAATATGCAACCAGGCTTAGAAAATCCCATTTGTAAGCATGCTGTAGAATTCATGAATGGAAGTGTGCCTGAGAAATCATGAAACTCATTCAAGGTGTAATCCATAACACCTGGATTCAAAAGAGAGCAAATCCTAATCACATAGGCAAATGAGGAACTACTTTGTATTCAAAGAGCCTGTATATTAATATTTTGCATTAAAAAATTATGAGCTAGAATCTTTTGTACTTTATGGAAGAGAATGAATTCATCGGATATGACTGAATAAAAAGCATTTCCTAATTCAACTAAGACAACAATCTTCGGTGAAGCAAACCCATTTACCTCTTATTTTTGTAATTTAGAACTAAATGACATTCAATTTACCTGTATAAAGCAATTTCTTACCTCAGGTCCTGGAGGACCCATTGGTCCGTGCGATCCAGGATCTCCAATTTTCCCCTTAAAAAAATCCAAACGGTTAGATTTTTGATGATAATTTATGTTTTTAACAACAGACTGTTAAGAAGATTTTAAAAACATTTATCAAAAAGAAAGCCAAAAAAAGTGTTGAGATGACTTTTCCACTAAATAGGAAATTTTATAACTGCCTCTCTTTGGATTAATTAAGACTAGTTCTTCTTCATATCTCTTTGAAGTCACAACAAAAAATGCAAATTAGCTTTAGACAAATAAAACTGGGAATTTTGGGATGGTCCATATAGTCATATAAAAGAACCTTGAAATATATAGCTGTTTTCACAATAAAAACTACATATTATTTAAAAGTCTAGGAAGTAACTATTATGGATATTGGTTTATGTACTTATATAGTTTAAGTATCCAATCATGGCTGAAGAAATGGCAGTTTTGTGATTAATAATAGTAAAATTAAGTCCTATCCACGTTATATCGACTCCTTTATATACAAATAGTGACACACCTAAAAAATGACCAAAATATTTCTCTAAATTATATCTGTTCTTCCACATTTTTAAAAGTTTGCTGCTGCTACCAAAACTAGGTGTTCCTTGACCAAAATTAAAGCCTGACCTAGAAATTTTTTTTTAATTTTTAATGTAAATGATTTTATTATAAATGTATTCTACAAAGTTAATCATTATATTACATGCAGGACTGAGGTCTCATATCTTAATTTAACATAAGTCAAGAAGTTGGTCACATTCAGTTTGTGCTTAAAATCCACAACCATTCAGGATTGTGCTAATTCACATGTTTATCTTTAAATGAAAATGCTTACATCTGTAAATGCAAAAAATCCGAGTTTCCCCATCTAAGCTTAAGCAAATTTGTGTAAGTTTTTTGCAGGATTAGTGTTTATATTATAAATTCTCTGGGACAAAGAAAGTATTTTTTATTGAGTCTAAGGGCATATGACACTCATGAGGTCCAAGTAGGTTTATCAGATAGTGGCTTGACTGCACATAAGAAAATTGAGACTGGAGTGATTAATTCTTTAACAGCTTTAAGTAGGCAGCTTTTAATTATACACCAAAAAGAGGCAGATAGTAGAGCTAAAGACAGGTGAGGAAAAAGCCAGGTAACCCTGTGCCATGCTTTTTCTGCCTCAACATTTACAAACGCAGTAGAAGTGGCAGCACTGCATGGATGCCTTTAAAGTTGCTAAAAATCAGTAAATACTGGAATGCATGACTACTTCCATCCCTGTGAGAAATGACTGGCCATTATTAATGAGATTTCCCACACTCTCTCCAAATCCAGCTAGCCGAAATGGTTGTCTTGGCAGCTCCCGAAGCTCTCAGTGGATTTGTTTCAAACATTACCAACATGCCTATTCCCCTGTAAAGTGACTGTCACAGAATACGTAATATCCTAAGCACTCCTGTATTACAATCTGACACATATACTGATCAATGTAATAAAATCTCACACATTATGATCTGACTCACTCACTAACCAGTCACTAGAAATAAAAGCAGCTTAGACCTTATTCTTTGCGCATTTTGAATTAGGTAGCTTCCAGTGGATTACATGCAGTGTGATCATAAGATACAAAGAAGTATCAAGTATAACAACATATTGTGTTATATTGAGAGCAAAAATCAATGTGTAAACTTACTGGGGGTCCTGGCTTTCCTCTGATCCCTGGGGGTCCTGGTAAACCAAGAGCACCCTGAAAAAAAGAAAGCTATTAAATACATGAAAATGTATTGTTGTGTTGGAAGCAACAGATAGCTACACTTTCCCACCTGAAACAGACTTCAAAATAATTCTACGGGATGAGAAATGTCTTCTAACATTCAACTTTCATCAAAAGAGTTCTCACAGGATGTGCTATTTCAGTGACTTCTGATGTACTAGCCAAATAGGAAAGAAGATACTTATTTATCTCAGTTTCACAATAGGAAGAAGCATGCCAGACCATATGCTGCTGCTAACCACTGTTGGTCCAGGTGAGCTGCAGATGAACCTTGAGGTTCAAGGGAAAAATATCTTTTACAACAGTTTCTTAGCAGGTTTCAGATCATACCATAATTCTTTTCTTGTTTGATGTGTCTCTGAACACACGGCAGCCAGAATTCTGCCCATGCCCCTTACTTGTCTTTGTTCACTACTTTCCATAACTACGTTTTAATTAGCACAGCATTTCTTAAAAATATGGTGATTCAGTGGTATCCAGTAACTTTTACTACTGCATTACTGCATTCTACTTTTATGCAACTGACTCGTTGCATTTTAAGAGACTCAGAAGCCTGATGAAGTTGCTGAAATTGGACAATTTTGTAAAACAATGCAATTATAAATTACCTTGTCTCCCGGGTACCCCTGGTCTCCTGGCTCTCCTGCAAGGCCATGTTCACCCTAAACAATACATTATTTTATACAGACATACATATGTGGCTTAAAATGGGGTAGTTATCAGAATTAGAGAATGAGAAAGATGAATTCAATATGTAGTATCTAAAATTAACACAGATCTTTGAATGACATTGCAAGATGTTGCACTGAAGTACCCCCTCCAGGAAACCCTACAGACACAGCACTGGATATTGTAATGCCCAGTAGTAAGTGCTCTGTCCAGAAGTTTGTCTAAAGTACCAGAATGTGAGACTGAAGTAATTTTAAAAAATAAAAGTCAGAAAAGAAATCAAAAGGAAAAAGGAAAGACTTCGTAAGTACATTATTTTGCTCAAGATTTAATGAAATGAGTCTGAAAGAATTACGTATCTCTAAGATAATGGAAATATTTAAATCACCTTATCACCTTTCATTCCAGGCTGTCCCGCACTCCCTGGGAGACCCTATTAAAATTAAAAAAAAAAAGACAAAAATCCAATGTTTGTCTATAATTTGGAAAGGAGCATAGGCACCAGGCTGTGGGATCATTTGGCACTGTACCGTGGGCCCTGGAATTCCTGATGGTCCGCTTGGTCCTGCTGGCCCGATGTCTCCCTGTGAGAGAGCAAGAAAGGTGACTGCATTAAACATCTGATGAAATGGAGTAACTTTAAGACTGGTAGCAGAATGTGGCATTTTCTGCACCACAGAGAGAAACCAAAATCTTTTTCAGGCTAATTTCTTGGGGGAAAAAAGTCTCCATATTATAAGCTCTCCACTCTCACAGTTCCTAACCACATCAGCAGAAACACAAGAAACTAACCTCCCTCTTTTCCTGTAGATTATGTATTCAAGAGAAGATAGCAGTGCATTAGGAAATGCAGAATAAGGAAGCTTTCTTTTGTACTGCATCTGCACATTCGGTGGCTATTCCCTCTGTCCTTAGGGTCACATGACATCACTACTCTATAAGCATCAAATTTGGGTAAAGGAATTATTCTACCATGTTCAGTGCCATAAAAAGTGACTTTTACTAGGATTTTTCATCTCTCTGACTTCTGCAAGTTAAAAAAGTTAAAATCATGGAAGGAGGGAATTCCTGGGCTCAGCTTGCTGATGCTGCTCACTTTGCTGTTGTTCTCATGACCAAACACAAAAACATAATTAGCTCTTGACACTGCATACAGCTGTGCCGGACAAGCTACTTGAATTAATGCTGTTGGTTTCTGCCAGAATAATAAATTTAATCTCATGTTCAATACTGCATCTTGTAATAGTATAATGTAGTCTAATTGACTAAGTATTTTAGAACAAACATCGAGGTCTCTAGTTCTTTACTCAGTTTTGGATGACCACTAGCATCTGCCTGAATAAGGGCCATGTGAAAACAGAGGCCAGGGTGCACAAACCCATTTGGAGAGCAGGTGTAGTCAAGGGACAGGGCTGCACCACACAAGCTGTACTTGGGGATGCTGGGGTCACATGAAATTCCCCTGGGGTCTTGGTGAAATTCTGCTACAGTTTAGAGTGCAACGGTCCCTTGTAAAGAAACTCTGGAACAAAGCACAGCTCTTCCAATTATCTTACTGACTGGGAAAGTGGGAACCAGAGTAACTAATATGATGTAATGCAGAGACACAGAGGAATGCATAATAAATTTTACTGATGACGCCTATACACTGTGTTAGTAGCCACAAAAGACTCATGCCACTAGATACTGAAGTCCTCTTTAGCCATGTTCCAACCTTATTTCAAAACCCCAACTAGATTTGCTGATGCTTTGGAAGTTTCCAAAGGGTGTTCAGAAATCTGGAGGAAATGTTGCTGGGCCATCTTCCTCAACTGCAAAATCTTACTGTCCAGTAAGGTCTTATCAACCACAGAGAGTTAACTGCCCCTGGGCGGCAATGCTAATGTGTCTTGGCTAAATAAAAGAAGATACCTTTAAAAACACCATAATACAGCCGTAAGATCTATTAAGCTGTCAGAAGAATTTACAATGACTGTACCTTTATAGAGCTGCATTTCTACATGATAAGCACTTGCCCATACCTATTTTTGTTCACACATTTGTCATCCCAAGCACTAAACTCTATTAAGACCAGAAGCTCATTTGCAAAAATATTTCTGCCTCCAAAAATGTCATTGTTTTTCAGCATATAAACATATACCTCAGCTACAAACACAAAAGTATAGGGATCAAAGGAGCTCTCTGCTCCATAAAAGACCCCTAATTCCTTGCAGTCAAATGGAGCTGCAGCAGATGATGTAAAGTTTGCAACAGTTCTGGGGGCCAAACTCTAATTCCAACAAAAGAGGTGAATATCAGTGCACTCTCTGTAAAAGTCTTATTCCAAACTGTCACATTGCAGAACTAAAAAGTATACACAGGAAGAATTAGCTTAGTAATTGTACATAATGAAGAAAGAAATGTCAGTTTCTATGCTTTACTTTCTTGTCTTTACTTTAAATACACATTATGTAAAAGACATGGGCACTTAATGAATGCTCTTACACAGCAGAAACTGTGCAAAACAGTCCCACGTATAAATGGGAGATGGCAGGCCACTCAAATGGAGTTCACAGGCAAAACAATGACTGATTTCATGCTGGTCAAAATCTAAATATGCCATATTTTTTTTTTTCCCCAAGAAATAGCTCTCATTATGTTTATATTGTGGCTATGTACAGGTGACAAAGATTTTGGACTGGTGATTGAAAATAATTTCTATATTTCACAAAAAATTATTGACACTCAGTCTCTCTGTGTAAGTGACTGCAACTCAGCAACATGGCAAATCAAGCTTTGACCATGCAAACATTTGTGCTCATGAATTCTAGGAAGGGCTAAAGTGCTGACTAAGTTTTAGCCAAAATAATCAGTAACAGTATCTTTTTAGAAGTGATATATAGGCTTTTTTAAAAACCTCAGATACATTTGTACAATTACCAAGTCCTTGAGATAAAATTCCAGACAGTCATGTAAGAAAGAAAAGTAAACTGTAATTCAAAGCAAATTTTCAAGAGTGCAACCTCTAGTCTCATGAGTGGTTCAATTGGCTCAAATATGTAAACTGACAAGGATACAATGAGTCACGTTTGCATGATGAAGGCTGAAAGCCACAGAGGTTCCTTGGCCAAGCTTGTGTGTCTTCAGTATAGCAATGCCATAACAATCCCCATCAGGCAGCAAGGGACAACTTATAGGAATATTTTTTGTTCTGAACATACCATTAAAAAGATAATAATAATAATGGAACTCAGCTGTCACACTTCAAAGGAAAAGTTAGATGACCATCACTGTAAACTAACAAACTTATCAAGAACGTTTCATATCTCCAGATATCAATTAAAAAAAAAAAAAAAACAACGAAAAACAAACAACCACTGGAGACAAGCATGGCTTTCTTAATTCAAGTGTAAACATGCTATTTTCTCCCACATGTTATAAACTCTGAACACGGCTGAGTAGCCAGCCTTGATTGAGCCAACATCAAGAATCAAATCCAGGTCTTCTATCAGTAAACACATGAATTACTTAAAATAAGGGAGTAAGACTACACAGCATGGAAGTATCAGTCTTTACCACCTCCTGTAGGACTCATTCACATCACAGAGCTTTTCTGGCGCAACTACCTTTATACAACTACAGCTTGCAACTCCATAATGAGCATCGCAACGTTATTCTAAAAACAAACAAACAAAACCAATACAATACTGTATACAAGATAAAGTAATTTTGCTTAGGAATTAATTCTGCTTAGAACTTGGTAGCCATATACAGGAATGAATGAGGGCTGTGGATGTTAAAATGTTTGGAAGTATTGCACTTTTTCAAAAAGTAACACTGGCTTTAGGGGTATAAACTAGCAAACTTCGTTATTTAAAATAAAAAACACAGACACACCAGATCAGAAACAAGAGTACAAATCCAAACAAAGTATAGAAATACTCCATACCAGCAATATGACAGCAGTTTTGTAGAGTGATTTTAATTAAAATCTTGGCTAACTAAACCAAAAACTGTTTAAAACCCTGGATTCTTGTATCTGTTTTTATTACTTCACAAACATACAAGACAAGTATTCTAATGAAGCCATATCAAAGTAAGTAATAAAAGCGTACTCACTCTTAGTCCTGGAAATCCAGGAGGACCAACACCACCAACAATTCCCTTCAAAGAAAATGAATTTTAGATTATCTGAATTTTACCATTTTAAAAAATTCCCAGTGATAAGATAAACAAAAGTGATCTGCAAAGCATGTCAGTTGGGATTTTTATAGAGAGTTCCTGAAGAATGACAGCTTATCACTGTATAGGGGAACGTACTTATTAAAATCCCTGAGTGTGGAATTAGATCTCAAGATATTTGCATCATGAAATCATTCCTGCATTACAAGGAATACAAGATTTGTGCCCATAATATTTAAAGTGGGAAGAAGAAAAAAAGGTTTTTTGGGGGTGGAAAAAAACCACCATGAGAATTTATTAAGATTCCTTTGAAAGATAAATAGAACACTGGTTCAGTTCACAGAAAGACCTTTGCAAATTAAAGGCTACATTCTCTTTATGAAAAATTATTTCTTGATACAAACTACGGTATTTGTAATTTACGTAGAAGTAACAAATTCAATGGTACTCTACTACTGCCTCTGTTGCACTCAAGTTTAACTCGGCAGAGTCTAAAATCCTGAACACCTCTGGAAACAGTTGCAAGGTCTCTTTGCCCTGCATGAAAGGGGTATTGTAGCCCTCCAGGTCAGGATGCTTCGCGCAGGCTGTCCCAACACCTGGGACCTGCTACTCAATGGATATCATACATAGGGTTTATAGGGTTCACTGCAGCCCATTAGCACCCACAGTGAAGTGGAATTTTTATGCAAGCAAATCTGAGCCCCTTCTGAGGCTGTCCAACAGGGGGTGGCTGCTGGGCAGGGCACAGAGGACACCTTCATGCTCTCCTCCCTCCTCTGGTGCCTATGCACCTTCTCCAACCTGCTCCAAACTAACCACAGGGGAAGCTGAATGCTCTACCAACATCCTCCAAGGCAGACTGACATCCTCAGAGAATTGAGAGGGTGTTGTGGAAATGAAGGATGGCATTACTCTGTTAAGCAGAAGAAATTAGGCATGGAGACAAATGTCATTAGTGTCAAGTCAGCACATGGGAAGAAATGTCTTCCCTTCAAGTTCCTGCCACCACAGGCCTCCCAGGCAGCCCCTGCTCTCCACTGCCAGCTCACAAACAGGCTCTGTAAATACCCCATTAGCATCGCAGCCCCCTGCAGCTGCAGCTCTGGCCTCTTGCCTGAACATGCCCTGCAGGGTAAGTTTTGGGGGAGGAGAGGAGGGGGTTGAGGGGTTGCTGCCTGTCTGAGAAGGCAGTAAGATCAGCAGCTGTCTTGGCAGATTAGAAGGAACTTGTTTGCAAATGCTTGTGTTAAAACAGGCTTCTTTGTAAAGTGCAAGTCTGTAATTTCAGATCCAGGCTTTCTGAGCTTGTTTCTATTAAAGTACTGTTGTTCTGCAGATCTTGTGGAAAGACAATATCTGCTTTGTCAGGAATGGAGGGAGACTTGGAGTACCAAGAGTGGAAGGAAGAACTAACTTTTTTATATCATTTGCAAAGCAGCTGGTGACACTCACAACCCCTCAGAGGGCTTTCAAGTTGAAAAGCACCATACTGACATCACCTAACATTCCCACAAGGGGAACTTTGCCTCAGGTACCAGAAAAGCAAAACATTTTTTTTTCCTATGTTTCAAAATGCTGACACCAAACGTTGACAACCCATCAGCAAAATTCATGTAAGCATTTCTGAAATAAGTTTCTAAGACGGGTGTCAGGAAAGGGCAGGCCTTCAAAAAGGAGACCACCTCTGCCCAGTTGCTGACTCCAGTCCATACCAGAATAACCTTTAGACACAAACTGATAGCAGTTTCCAAAGGAGCATCCAACAATAAAAGCAGATTCAAATCAGCTGCTCTTTTGTCCAGCACTTACTGCTGTTCCCTTGTCTGGCCCAAAGCCCTTTCACTGGTTTCTCATATCAAAGGAAACCTGAGTTTGGAGTCTGCAGCCAGAGTTTCCCTACAAATACAGCAAGACAGCAAAGCTCCTTTGAGTGCAGCCAGTGAAGTGACGTGACTGTGCCACAGTGTGAATACCGTACCACCAGAGCACTTTAGCTTGCACACGCTGCCAAGGACAAAGCTGTTATCATACTGATTATAATGCACTAAAAGACATACTATCAAAATTGTATTCACTAACAGTTCAAAGGATGAAATCAACTATCAAATGCATACGCATATGAACTCTAGGGTTTTGGCACACATGCAGAATCCCATTTTGTAAAGGTGATCTTAGAATAACGGTTTAAATAAACAAAGCAAAGTCACATCCAGTGCAAGAATTTTTTAAGACAAAACATTCATCAGTAATGCAATGAGGACAGCAAGACATCTGATTCTCAAGGCAGTCAGCACATGCAGCAGTGGAAACTGTGTTCTCTCAGCAGCTTTCTGGTTCTTTTCTCCTCTTTTTTATACCACTGCTTATTACAGTACTAGCTTAGCAATTTCCATGGAAAAGTAACAGTCCAAAATTTTCCTGTGGACTTCATGACATTGCTTTTGAGGCAAAAGTCTCCTTTCCATTTGGGAGGGGAGTTAATATTGAGCATTTCAAATTTTACCATGTTTATCAACACACAATTTGATACTTACAGGATTCCCATCTGGACCAGGGGGGCCTCTATTTCCAAAGTCACCTGGAAAACCCTAAAGCAGAAGAGAGAATGCTTGTTCTTTATTATCCAAGGCACAAAGGGTGGTCTGAACACTGAATTCCTATAGGTATTAGAAATTAGGACACCAGCAAGTGGATTCAGGGAGACAGGCGGAGGAACAGGAGAAGCAGAAAGTTTCAGCTGCACAATTCAAATTAATAAAACAGAATTGTGGTATTTATTGGTCTCCTAAAATCATAACCAAAAAAGATATAACTATACACTATGTAAGCATAGGGCAAAATCAGATGACTGAATGCTTTAAGAGCAATATTAAACAAGTATTACTTGAATTGTTTGCTTGGAGTCTCTTTTCCTATTTAGTATTTTTACTTCAAATTTTCTTCCTGTTACCTACAACATTCACTAAAACATCTGTCTTTTGTTCTCTCCTTACTTTTCCCCAGATATTAATGGTTGCAGTCTCAGTGCGACACATGTTCACTAGAAATCAAATTTTTCATCTTTCTGGCACAACACTGTCCTTACCAATGTGAACACTTGCCTTAGTCTGCATCGAGAGACTGAAACAATAACTCAAACACGACATGGAAAAGCCTCATTTCATTTTATCAGAGTTTTGACTTCAGAGACTAGATTATCAGGACAGGGAAGAAATCTGACTGGTCAAGTCAGGCGTCGAAGCTTGAAAGAGAATTTCCATTTCTTGCTTGAGAAGCAAAATGAAATGGAAATCCACCACTTTACTGGCTCTAACTTTTCTTGCTTTCTCTCAGGGTTTTGCAGATTGTTTTACTTCTTTCTGATGTTGCCCACTGCAGAAGCACATGAGTTGCTGGGGAAAAGTGGTTTGTTTTGGGTCTTTTGTTTGTTTGTTTTAAATTGATTTTTATCAGTGTACTATTGCCAGCCAGATCTCACTATTTCTCTGGAAGAGCCACATGAAGCTAATAGCAAACTCATGCTATTAGTTTGAAGCAGCACCATGCAATATTTTCATGATTCCTATCACTGTATAAAGGTAGGAGAAAGGATGGAGCACAGACCTACAGAGAAGTCAACATCCTTTTTAATTACATTGTAAGGTCCATAGAAGAACATATAACAAAATTTGCAAAATATCAAGCTGGAAAGGGATTCTGCCTGGCAAAAAATCCAAGATAAGGCGCTCACAGGAAAGAGACTTTTCCTGGAACTGAAAAATCTCACACAGTGTTAGAGTACTGAGATAACTGAGAGATGCATTAACCTCAAGAAATCAGCCACAAAGCACCACAGAATTACTAGTCCATCTCCATGGGGAAAAGGAGCAAATTCCGTCCTTACAATAATTTTTACACAAAATACTCTTCTTTGTCTTTTCAATGTTTGAACGTCTTCTTATCCCTCCCTGTGTATCAGGAACAGTACTTTGAGGCATTAACCTTTCACCTCTGTAAGACTGTGTTCAACCCTGCTGCAGGTCAAAGGTACAATTAATTTGGCCTTTTCAATCTACCTTGTTTGGAGGACATCCACATAGCTGTCCAGCTCAGGACTCAGTATAGCAGTGTCTTTCCTTAATGGAATGGGGGATATGCATCATCGTACTATATTTTATGAACAGCAGCCAGGAAGACAATATAAAACTGCAGCAAGAAGGTGGAAAAATCATATCATAAACCCAAGCAGTTTCAGCACTGCTTAAGCCATATTTGGCTTTAGTAATAACTTAAACCAAAATTCTGTAAAAGTTAGGCAACTTTTTACGTGTGTATATATATGCATACACACTGCTTAAACAATATGTTGAAACAACTTAATAGGCTCTTAATTCCCATCATCATGCATGATACTGTGAATTAAATCTGAGACATGCTTAACACTCCCTATACCATCTTCTGGGTTGATTTCGGCTGGAGTTTTTTTCTGCATTCTCCTGGAAATTCAGGAAAGCAAAAGATGGGAATGTCTCTCACAACTGAAATTTTTATTCAGGATCTGATCATGGAACTCACAAATAAGAATCTATAGCCATAATTGTAAGATCTGACAGTACAGGTCTTTATATTGTTACTGTCATACCATTTAAACAGTAGAGGTTCATAGGTTAACGGTCAATAAAGAAGATTTCATTGATTCTGAATCTGTACACCATTGGCCAAATTTTTGCACGACTCTGAAAATGTACTATAAAATTTCACATATGCAAAATGGGTATGATGACCCACAGTCATCATAATCCCATTCTCAACAGCATGTGTCTTCTAACTGATGCTGATAAAACTGTCTTAGTAAGTAGAAAAATTAAAGGAAAATGCAACATAGAAGAACAGTCAGAAAAGTCTAAAATTGGAAGTAATATAATAACACTACAGTGCAACAAGTGTTTTATTACTATAAAGCATACAAAGGATGACTAGTCATAATTTTAATATAAACCAGAACCTGAACTGTTTTTCCAGTTACAATGGACTTGATTAATAAATTCTTGGTATAACTTACAAGGTCTGTTCTGTCACATTGACCGCTGGTTGTAACTAATCCGACATAGAAGAAAACTATGTAAAAACATTCCCCCAAATGCGGTCAAACCACGTATGCAAAAGCACTATGCATCATACTAACAGGAGAGACAATGCATTAAAAATATTGCAGAACTAGCCAAATTTCATATTACAAGCATAAAATGGAAAAAAAATGAATACAGATGCTTTTACTACGAAATACTTTCTTTAAAGCGTATTGTATGCAAAACTAATCTAAAATTCAAAGAAATACTCACTGTATAATCTTCACAATAAAGATTTTGGTAATTGAATATTTTGTTCCATTTCAAATATGCCAGAGATGTAACAGGTATGAATAACTATTCAATAAACCTGCTAAGTAGTAGCATTTTGAATTGTAGGTGTACAATCGCTTCTATGATCCACTTTTCTTATACTTTAATATTACTTTCCAAAAATAAGATCATATTTGGGATCTGTTCTCTTTCAGAAGGATCTCTGCCAGTCAGAAAGGTTTTTTTCCCCAAGTACTATTATTGACAGAAGTTTTGTCTAAAGAAATAAGTTGCATTCTAGAACACAAGGTGAGGAGCCTGACTTCAGGCACTATTCAATTCCCATGCCAAATTTCCTTTAGTGACAGTGCTCTGCCCCAAAGCACCAGTTTTGTTAACTCCATGACACTGTGTCAAAAGACGTTATCAGAGCTATCATTGTCTGGGGTTAAAATAACACACATTCTCTAAGCTTGTGATCCAGCAAAGTACTTCAAGCCAGGTTCCCAAGTGATTGCTCTCCTGGTTTGGTCCCTATATTAGTAGCCTTTAGTCAAATAAGTACTTTATAGATCACAGAAAGGATTTGGAATCAACCTTGGGATTCAGGAAATAACAACATTACAGAGGAATCAGTACTGAATGAAGGTAATCACAGACATTGTGCAGAGGTGCTTTTGGTGCTCTGTCACCTATGTGAAACCTCTCTGAATTGATTTATATAAATAAAAGTCCTTATCAGAGCACTGATAGAAGTTGCGCTCTGTTGTGAATAACTGCTTACCACAGCATGCACAGCACCAGCTGTTACAGATTGAAACAAACTACTGCACTGGCAACCAGAAGCCTCAGTGAAACCTGCCCCTGAGAATGGGATTATAATGCAAAACATATTTTCCAAGTACCCTGCTGTCACCTCCTCTTCCTTTTCCACACTGAGCACAAGCCTTTGCTTTCCGTCCGGGTCCTCCTTCTTAAATGCTGCACGTGACTCACCAGCATGACACACTGCCAACTACTGCAAGGTACTGGTGGCACAGACCCCTTCTCGCCCAACACTCAGACGCACAAAGTGGCGTTTGATTAAAATCATAAGCAAACTACAATACGGTCAACAAGCACAGGAGCACCCTGTCCTGCTAGTTGAATAATTAAAAACCAGACTCTTAGTTTGATTTTATACCTTACCAATTTGATAGCAGCTTCAGAAAGAGCAGCCTATCAACTTAATGACACTTTTCTCTGCTTGCCTTTCTTTACATCAAAAGGAACTCTGTTGAAGGCTAGTGCCTTTTTTTGGCTGGTGTTAGATCACACAAAAAACAAAACATAATTAAACAGAATCCTCCACAACTTTCATAGCACATGTCAAGAGCCAAACAATGGTAAACACACGACTACTGCTGGAGAAGCTTGTTAAACATGCTAGATGAAAAGTTATCTGAACTGCTGAGCACAACTGAGCGCAAAACTGGGGAATGCTATTGCAGTTTCCAATCTCAAACCACAAGCAAGTTAAAACTGGAAACTCCTGGATAGCTTCAAAGACCTAAAATAATAAGGTTGCAGCAGAGAACAAAACACTTGGCATTGAAGATACACCACAGGAAATATGTAAACCTTGATAATGTATACTTGGCAGACTTGTGTTTATTCTCAGCTGTAGAAATATATGTTAAGTAGAGGACAGCTTTAATTTGCCATAGTCCAGAAATACCACACATTAAAAGTAGCTGATTTGCATTCAAACCAACACCAAAATCAGACTTATGAAACTTGCATCATATCTGTACCTTGTGCTAACACTAATATTACAGAAGATATTTATGTGTTTCTGTCACCTTTTAACCCTCAGGTGGCTGATATCAGTAACCAGCCACAAGGCTCATCATGTTAAGTCTGCCTCACTTCAGAACATCTAGTAGTTATAACTTGCACAGAATTTGCAGTACTGCAAAGTACTAACTGGACACAATAGATACTTATCTATGGAAAAAATAAACCTAACATTTTTCAGCTGATTAAAGTTACAGAGTGAATTACAGGTCCATTTACATTGGCAGTAGAAATTGTAACAAGTGTTAGAAGCTTTACCTGTCTCCCTTTAGGACCTCTTTTTCCACGGAAGCCTGGGATGCCCTGAGAAAGAAATAACCCATTATAAGTAGGTTTTCTTTCCTTCAGTAGCTTAAATTCAAGTAATTAAACCTGCATTTGGAAAAGACAGTGTGAGAAGCATCATAAAAAACAAACATATATATTTGAGCAAAGAATCACAGAGACAATATCCTAACAGGAAGGGCAGAAACACAAACTTTGCTTGTCTTTACTGTGGCCACATCAGAACAACTATGAAGGGCCATATCCTGCTTCCATCAAAGTACATGGCCAGACAGCCTTTGTGCTCAAGAGAAGCAAGAAAAGGCTCAAGCACAGAGTGACAGAGATTAAAATTTCCATGATTGGTTTTATTGCAAACATCATCTGACAACTGACAAATATTAATTATGGACTGAATGAAATTGCTTCAATGAAAAATACTCATTATGGACTTTGGTGATAAGAAAAAATACCCCTAATCCTTGCAGCTCTAGATTAAATTCAAATAATAATTTGCAGCTGCTCCCCATTTAACTTTAGCACCAGTGCATTTCACTGATTAGACTAATTAGATATGACCTATTTATTTAATTCCCTCCACATCAGTTTTGCTTTTAGACAAAGACTTAAATGAATGGTTATACCTTGTACATTTTTCCTCATTCTAGCATATATTGCATTACCATCCAAATATCAATATTTCATTGATATTCCATTAAACCTACCCTTTCTCCTTCGGGTCCTGGTTGTCCTGCCACACCTGGAGGCCCAATGAAACCCTAAAAACATCAGAACAATTCTTGATTACATGGCTGCTTCCCACCAACACTGCTTGTCCCTCAGTATTGGCCAGCTGTGGGTTCAAGATCCAGGGATTAAATTCAGGCTTATTTGAAATTACCAGTGAAGCTCAACCAACTGAAATGTGACTAGGTTTTATTCTCCAACCAACAGCAAAAACAATTTCCTATTATAAGGGTACAGAATCAATTAATAAAGTACTAAGAAATTGTTTCAATAAGACAAAATTGCATCAGAGACCTTATTTATTAGAATAAATGAAATATGAAAACACTGAAGTTAACCTTATTCATGAAATACATCAGAAAAGATGTTCTCATCTTTAATAACACTGTGTGATCACTGCTATATGTAAGAGTCTTAGAAAGTTTACCTTGTCATAAGCAGAACATTTTTCTTAAAGTTCAGTCACAATGCATTTCTCTCCCACCTTCCCCTCAGAAAGTCAGAAATAGATCCTCTCATATAATCAGTTGTATGAACACAGAAACATGCTGTTGACTCAGCAGAAATGATAGTACAATTTACAAAAATAGTAGTATAGATGGATTCTTCACTACCCGATTCAAACTGAGACTGGAACAAAAATATTAATAGTTACTAAAAAAGAATCCCTTGCTTTCATCTCTCTCTCTCTCTCTCCAGTCCTCTGATTGTAACGATTTGTGGGGTTTTTGGGTGGCCTCTTTTTTTTTTTAAATTATGAAAGATAGCGACCATCTTATCATCCAGCCCTAATGAGAGTAAGGAAAGCAAAGGCACTTCTGTTTTCTACAGTTTCTTACAAACAGCTGAGAAGCAGAGTACAGTTTGATTGCAGGAATGTTCTAAACTTAAAGCTCTAAAGATACTTCGTATCATGTTGCCATACACCTCCATGGCACACTAGTATGTCTCAACAGGGTTGCATCATCGTTTTTATTGGAAGTTGCTGTAGAATTCATACACAGGACTTATCCTTAAGACCTGACAGGTGTTTTTCCCTAAAATTACTCATACGTTGGCCATTTTTAGCTTTGTGTAAACAGAGAAGTAGTAACTTTTCAGGAAATGACTGGGATCACTTAATGTCTTGTTGGTTCAGAGGAGAATGAGACGAAATGCATTGAGAATCTGAGCAAAAATAAACTGAAGAAATGTAAAAGATAAAATCCCTGAGGGTGCAATATCTGTTGGCATTTGATCCTGACAAACTAATTTTTTCCATCACTGCAATGAAAACTAACATAAAAAAAACCCACCCAAAAAAAACAGACATATGTTTAAGAAGCTGCTGCAGGTAAAAGCTTTTAGTAACTATGTTAAAAAAAAAAGGACAAAAGCAAATCTAGCAATACAATAAGATTATTTTAATAGATACTTGAAAACACAGCACGCTGCTCAGCAACCTGTACAGCATGAGCTGAGGGCCTGAAAACACTTAGCAAAAGGCTCCTCCAAATCTAGGTGCAACCAGCAACATGCAGTTTTCTAGAAACCCATGTCTACTGCCTGATGGTGAGAGTCAATCTGAAAAAATACTTATACAAGCATGTGTACGCATGCACATGTGCCTATTAAAAAAAAAAAAAACAAACAAAATACAAAAGAAAACCAATTTTAAAGAGTACAGAAAAAAGCCAACCTGTTTCATCTCCAAGAATAATCAAAAGCAAACCTTGAATCGAGCAGAGCATTAAGAGCCTTCAGTCCCTAGGATACACATGACTACAGCTGAACCATTCTAAAATCTCAAGATCACTTCTATGGTTTTCTGTGACAAGATGATTTCCCTTTATCAACTTCTGTAGCTGTTACAGATTGCAAATGCCAGATACATCTCCCTTCTTGACAGCTTCCATTATGGAAATAATGCTTCAGGCAGGAAACGTCAGCTCCTCTTCACTCCCAGCTCTCACACACCCACATTCAGTATTGCTTTCCTTCTCTTGCCTGCAGGCATTCCAAGTGAGAAGAAGGGCAACAACGTAAGACTGCTCTACACTGCTCACCATGGAAAAACAAAAATTAAATCCTTACATGTATTTTGAAAGAAACACTATATTTTCTCTTTTGCAGGTTCTGTAAAGACACAGTGGATGAGCGGGCATACAATTGGCAGAGCTGAATGAAACTCCTCATCCCCTTTCTTATGTATGGGTAAAAATAGACATGCGTGCCAAAAGGCTTAGAAAGCTTACTTACTCTTACACCTTTAGGACCTGGGTTACCTTCTGGTCCAGCTAAGCCCTATTACAAAAAAAAAAAAAAAAAAAAAAAAAAAAAAAGGTTTTTTCTTTTTTCATTTTAAACAACCAGATATGGTCTATTTAAAAGAACTGTAACAGTATTTGTTAACTGCAAACTGGCAATACATTCTTAAAATGACTAGGATTGAAGAGGGTGCCGTTCAGCAGTCCCCTGGGACCATATTCAGAAAGGTCTCCCATTAATTCATGGCTGAAACTTAGACAATGACTGAAACTTCCTTTATATTAAAATTATTTCTTCTGGGAGGAGATTTTTTTCCAGACCCAGTGATCTGGCATTACAGTGAGATAATTTCACAGTATTTTTCATAAGTTTTTATATTTGGACACATTTCCAATTATTTTCAAGCTAATGTCAAAATAGCATATGCAGTCCAAATGCTGTACACATTTGATGTGATTCAACACAAACATGTTATCATCCATTACTATATAAAATATTGTAATGGAATTTTAAAATATATAGCCATTACAAACTTAATCCAATAAAATGCTGAAGTATCAGTCAAATTCACCCTTTAAGTAGACACAAATCCACAGAGTCAGTTGTAGAATTTAGCACATATACCTTTATATAGAGAAAATAATGAATATTTCTACTTTATGTCTTATTTGTATGACTGGACTGAGGTATCTGTTAGCTTATATGTAAATTTAAAAAAATAAAATCAATATTTCTATAAGTGCTTGTGTTTATAGAAAGCTGCTTTCTGGCTTTATTGGTTCTCCTCAACTATCTGAATGGGGGGGGTCAGCAGTGAAGTAAATACATTGGTGAAAATCAGGAGGAACTATACTACAACAGGCAGTTTCCTACTGCTTCTGGACTTGAAATATGAAGAAGATAAAACACATAGAACCACAACAGTTTTATGAAGGAGCATAAAACATTTAGACATTCAGTACTTTGGTAATGTCATTTATGTATTCCAGAAAAGTACACCATTACTGCACCTAAGCCATACAAGTTTAAAAGCCACAAGACTCAACATTACTAAAGGGCACTACCTGTGAAAGAGGTTTGTTTCAAGGATAAATGATAGGATGTAAACAAATACATTTATACTATTAGTAGTTCCAGAAGAGTTAGATATGGTGCTTTTCAAAAGAACACACAAGAAAACCCCCAAAACCGCAAAGACATTAGTATAGTTACTGCACCTGCCTGCCAGGGTAACCAACTGCCCCAATATTGCCAGCCATTCCTGGAATTCCCTAAGTGGAAAAAGAGGTGGGAAAAAGAGGTGGAAAAAAAAAAAAAAAAAAAAAAAAAAAGGAAAGAACCAACAAACAGGTTTAATGTTGTCATATTTTGGAGTTTATTTGTTTTATCATTTGTCTTTTAACACCCGGTCATATGACACAGCTTAAACTCATGGAAAAATTGCTTTTTAAGCAAGTGACAGAGCAACACCCTAAAATTTACTCATCATATATAAGTAACTCCACCAATTTCAGTTACGTATCCTTTAAAAAGCATTACAAGCAGAGTAGCCTGATTTTATGAAATACAACAGTGCACCCCTTATTTCCATAAAAAAACCATAGATGCTATTTATAAAAAGTAATTGAGGAGGACTATAGGAGACAGGTCCTTATCATGAAGTAATTGTACTGGTCTTGGCTGTATTTGAAAAAATATGTGAAATGTTTCATTAAAGAAGAATCCTTATGTCCTTACAAAGCCAAATTTCTTTGTTTCTTCCAGAATCAGGTCAATATAGCACTGGATTAGTCATGAATGTATAGAACTTCTCTCCATCTTCTTCCTCCTAATCAAATCCAAAAGTCTTTTTTTTGTTGTTGTTTTATTACTTAACATCTGCGCATCTGACTCTATTTTCAGAAAAATGTGCTTTTCTGAACTGGTGCCAGATGCCATGGCCCCATCACCAAGACATAGGAAGGTCCACCTACTTCTGTTTAGTTAATTTGATTTTAAACAAGCCAAGTCCATAAATTGGACACTCTCCCAGCCTGACCCTTCCACCCACTGTCATATGTCAATGTTACCATAGCAATGGATCAGGACTTCCTCTCTGAGCTGCTCATAGCTGATTTATGGTGAAACAGCAGTCTTAGGAAGCAGAACTCAAAAGTGCAGATGCAAAAAGGGGTTGCAGTATTTTTTGTTTAAACGAGCTGCCACTGAAATGATTCTGTCACCTGCTTTCAACCGGTACAGATTCATCTTCTGACAGATGTTCTATCATGGAACTAGGCTCCATGGTCTCCTGTTTTGGCTCAGCTGTATCCCAAAATATGCATATATGAAAAAACTAAGCAAGCAGTAGAATCATTGCATTTACAACTCATTTTTTAAAACTTTTCCTTTGTTACCAGCTGTTCAAGAGGTTCCACAATTCACAAATTCAGAGGAATGTCTGTCCTCGCTGTACAAGCTTCTAAAAACTACAGACGCAGGTAGGTGCTACAGATAACAAGTAACTGGTCTAACTCATCACCTTCACCAGCCATGCCTGAAAATACTAGCAGTAAGAACTACGTACAAAATAAAACACTTTCATCCAAAGTGCTCCCTTAAAAGTTACATCAGAGTATTTTCTAAGTGATAATAATGAAGGAAAATATTTACAGCAGCAGTATAAGAACATAGAGATATCAAACAGTTGCACATCACCAGTTTTCACATTCTTGAACATGAATTGCCTTTGAAGGAACTTACATACATGCTTGATTGCATGAATAATAAGCAGAATTGCTTTTCCATGCAAGCTTCACTTTTACCCCTCCATGGTAACTAACTGATTACTTTTCGCCTGCAACTTCTTCAAAGATTGAGGCACTCTTCTCCTGATGTTAAGAATGACTTTTTTTTCACTGGCTGTCTCTTTATCTCACTGCTAAATTATAGTCATCACAGAAAAATGCCTGCGAGTCTATAATAAAAATCACCACTCAGTCAGCTAAGATTTGTGTATAAAACTCATTAATGGATGATGTTCATGAGTTTTCATCTCCCTTCAGGTGTCTATCATCTGTTATCATCACCGCTCCCTTTCAGTGTCATCCAAAAGGAGATTCATGCTTCCATCTACTCTGCCATGAGGAGCCTCGTTAATGCTAACAAGACTCATGAGCAATTGGATATCTTTGAAATTTACATTCAGATTGCTTCTTGAACTGACATGGAAGTGAGAAAAAACACTAAATAACCATTTCATTTTCTACATGCTAGGAGATTTAAAATGCATTAAATCAGTAGAGGTTTTGAAAGAATCCAAACTGTGCTTCTAACAAGAATTTTACACCAACCTCCGCCAAGCCAGTGTGGTAGTTGAAGAAAAACAAGCTGGTCTTTTCCATTTCATTTAGACCATTTTTTACCACACTGATCTCTAAATAATCTGAATTCTTGGTCAAGAACGATCAAGTATTTCCTTAAGCAGTCAGTAATCTACACAGATTGCTTATATTGAACACTTATATTGGATTATGTATTTTTCTATCCTTAATTGTTCCTCTGTAGTGTAGTGTACTGTGCTTTCATTACTTACCTGCTCACCCCGTGGCCCTTGCAGTCCCAGATAACCCTTAAGACCCTGTAGGTAGAGACACAGATATGTGATAAATACAGTTAAACACACAAAATGGACTTTTTTTGCCTACTCCAATGTCCCTTTTTATCAAGAAAAAAAATTAACCAAACTTGTTTGCCTGCAGCATTAGTGTGGTTTACATTTAGGAGCTCATATGAAAGCCGAGTTAGAGAAAAGGAGTAAGAAATCTTCATGGCAGTTTAGACAATTCCAAGATATTAGCATGCTTAAAGACAGTTTCAGACTTGTACTCTTTTAAACAAATGCGTACATGGGATGCTGTCCCCAGTTCTTGCTGAAACTGCAGAACTGGATTTGGTACAGTGCATTTCCCAATTCCAAATCCTTGTCACTATGCCCTTTCTGAACAAGGCATTTCAGAGGAAGGGTATAAGTAGAAGGTCATCCCATACTATATTCTAGGACACTCTCAAGAAAGAAAGACGTTCCAGGACACACGATATCTCTTTATAAAATTAACATAGAACAAATTTCAGCCCTTATATTATGGAATTTATCTCAGTAAGGAGAATAGCCTGTTCCTCATCCCAGAAATCTTCCCTGTGGTTCTGGAATCATGAAGCTGACAAACTTTACTCCCTGTGCATTGACCATTTCATGCATATTTTAGTTCTTAAAGAAAAAAAAGAATTAAAAATAGAGCTGGAATCTGCCATCTGCATCAGTACACTTGAAAGGAGAACCTTCTTGGATGTCTTTACACTGTACTAAACATACCCAGACAAGCTGGCCTAAAAGGGAGGCTGTAACAGTTGCATGATTGATGCAGAAGCCAAGTGTCTGGTCTTCACATCCCTTGCAAGAGGTAGCGGGAATACGCAAGTTCCAAAAGCTGCAGCTTGAAAGACCAAAACAATCCTTATTCTGGATAGAAATCTGTCATAAAATTGGCCTCAAAGGCATTGATGGAGTAGCAGGAGTGCCTTGGCTGATGTCAAACATCTGGCTGCCTTGTGGCATGATGATACTTATTAGTCAGTAGAGCTTTAACACCCACTGTAATAAGAAGGAATTCTGCAACTGATTTCAGCAGATCAGGTATGCCAAAGGTTTGGATAAGCTTCTGCATGACCACAAGAGTATTTCTGCATGAAATTAATTTTATTATCATACACAAAATTAAAAGAGGGAATGATTTTGCTTGGTGATAATTTTAGATAATAGAAAAGAGTGACATCTGTCAGGCTTCAAAATTTGCAATTTTGCTATTATAGGCTTGCTTGAGGAATCTTGATCCAAAAGAGACATACTCATTAAGAAACCCAAAGGCCTCATTTTCTCAAAACCCAACACAGCAGGTGTATCCTTTCATTTTGCTAATCACACACAGGGCATTGCCAGTTTGCAGAATTATAATGTATTCTCGCTTCAATCCTCTCCTGTAACTTAAGTCTAAATAATTTATATATGTTATCTTATATCTAAGGAAGCAGGTCTGCGTTGCTATTGGGGGAAAAAAAAAAAAAAAAACAAACCAACAACTGTAACACAGATAGCCAGGAGTTAATCTTGGATAAACCAGTTAATATGAAATATCCCAATTTACTATATTAATGCATGCCTAAAACCAAACTTTTTATTAATTGCTAAAGTAGAACTAAAGATGCCAGCATAAGCCAGTAACTCATCTTTAGCTTTCAAAATGTGCCTCAGAAAGCCATATAGTTTTTTACAGTCCCAGCCCACTCTGTATTTCATGAGTTTTATCCATTTCAGAATTTTATCCCCTCTCTGTGCTAAAATGATCAACTAAAGTAGGTGTTGCTAGAAGAAATCTCTCAGTAGTTTCTGTGCAAGGAGAGAAGGAAAGCAAATGCTGCTATACGCAGAAACATTCAAAGAGAAGTTTATCACAATTTAGTTTCAAAGTGGGTCAGTTTAGCTGATTAACACCTGCATGGACAGTCTCAAAAGAAGGTACACAAGGAACTGTGAGATGAAGAAGAAGGACTAATTACTGGTGTGCATGTTTCTACACAACAGCATATTACTTCTGCCAGAGGAAAACTGCTCTGACCTCATATTTTAGAGTAGTATGCCCATATTGTTATTCAGAATTAACATGGCCTTAATTCTTTCTAACTCATTTAGTGCTGGTTAGGAATGAAGCTAAACTGCGCTAAAATTAATATCATTCCAAAGAGAGAGTTTTCACATAGGGGTTTCCTTTCCTGTGACTGAGCTAATGCTCTTAAAATTCTTAGTTTTTTATAAGTTTGGGTTCCTATTCTTGAGCATACCCATATAAATAAGACCCAGTTTGCTCTGAGCTAAGATGAAAGTAAACAAGAAGAATACAAGTTCACATGAACTGGTTTGCAAAATGAAATATGTCCTTATTTCTAATGAAGATTAATGCTCTGATTTAAAAGCTCAATGTGGAAGAGAAAGGTTTGAAGCTTCCAATTACAGCAATACAGACTTTAAGCACATTACAAAAAAACAGCAAGTCGCAAGAATACTTTGGTCTGCGTGAGAGAAAAATCTTTACCGCCAACTAGTACGACTCACAAAAGACTTCAGAGCAAGTTTAAGTGTCTGACTTCTACCATATGCCTAGCACAGTGGGACCCAGACTGAGTGAAATCTGTATATAGCAAAATATAGATGTTAAATCATAACAGCAAGGACTGTTCAAGCCAAGTCTTTCCATCTTACTGGTGCCCATTGTGTTTTATTAGAATTTTTATGCATTTGTTATTAAAATACATCTGGCACAACACTGGCAAATTTGCTAGAGAGCCAAGAAGTTTCTGTAACATCTAAAAATGAGTAGGTGAAGTGTTATACCCAGTGCTACAACCATCAGCTACAGAGAGATACAAGTCTTTGAAAAGTGCCAGAAAAAATATTTTCCGGACATGGGGTAAGTCTAGCATATAAACAGATTTCCGTGCACTGTCCCAGGAGCCTTTGCAATGCTTACTTATCAGCTTCACGTTGTCACCACATGGCACCCAGTTTTGAAAAACTTCTTCATCAGCAAATGGTTTGGGTTTTTTTTCCTTCATAGCTCCATTCTATCTTGTTTGCAGATGTTTATTAACACAACTAAGATTTCATCTACCATCTCTTAGCCAGAATATTCTAATAAATAGAAATACCCCTTAAAAAAAATAAAAAAGTGTACATATAGAAGATGGACCTTTTCACTATCTAATTCAGTAGAAGAATTTCTCTCACACAGTTGAAGTTTCCTCCTACTCAAGAAAAATCGCACTCTCTAGGAGAAGCAGTAGGAGACACTTGGTAGCATAATGTTGACATCACCACAGGTACTGCTTTGAAATTTATTTATCTGCCTTACCCTTTACAGGATACAAAAGTAAAGCCAAAAGGAAATATAGAGCCCTTCTCAGGTTGCAACCAAGGTTTTTCCTTCAACATGTCTTACCATATTATCCTTTAGTATGTGAATTTTATCAGGATTTTATAGATCCAGATTCCTGTGATTTACTGTTACACCTATATTAGGGAATAAAGTTAGCCGCAGAATTGTTGCCAATCTTTTTAAAAATCTTTTCCAATGTCATTGTAAAGTACCTGCAACCACACAGGCACTGCAGTCATTCTAATGTATTGGCATGATCCCAGGCAAGTTAATGCCCAGGAGTACTGTCCTTTGGCTGACAATCTATCCTCCAGTACTCTGGCTAGCAGAGGCGAGCACTCGTCTGTCTGTACAGTGAAGTAGGCCCTTGTCTGGGAGAGGGGAAAGGAGGGGGCTTCTGCTCTGTGAGGTCTTTGGACTGATAGAAGGAAAGTTTTGAGTGCTGATTTAAAGATGGCCCTGTCAAGACAGCTCCAGATAAGAGATCTGTGCAACTGCTCTGGAAACAGCACTCTCCTCAAACTAACCCTCATCTCCCACCATTACTTCTCTGCTTCAAAAGATGCCTGAAAGAAAAAGTCCTCTAAACACTTCATAAACATGCAAGTTTCTGTTCTTATGCTAGAACAAATTTGGAGCCCTAACCCAAGCAAAGCTTGGCTTTTTATAGTGTGTGTTACAGGCACGGGAAATATGTCATATTTTATACACAACCACAAGGACACATACTCTGACACATGGCATGTAATGAAAAATAAAGTCAATCACAATAATCTGTTCCCAGAGTCCTGATTATTAACATACGTTTGCGTTACTATCTCATTAAAAAAAATGTAGATTCTCAGCTTTATAAAAAGAAACACATCATTTTATAGTTCTAATCCAAAACAGTAGTTTACTAGTGCTTTTCTACTGCATCGAGGGCTTCAAAACAATTTTTTTTTTTTTTTTTGGTAAAATGAATCTTTCCAAGTAACTCTCTTAACATGATCTCAGATATTCAGAAAAATAGAACCAGAAGCACATGGAATATGGCTTCTCAAAGTCATTCTTCTCAAAAAAAGTGAAAACAATATGCACACTTGCCTCAAACTTTCACAACACATGTTTTTGTGTAAGCACCAAATGACGTTGCACAGGAAGTTCAGAAGCAGGCAAATTCTGATTAGAAAACTTGTCAAACACAGTTTCCTCCATAGCCACCCTGGAGTGGGGCGATCACGCCCAGTGGAGGGCAGCAGGCATTGCAGCACACTCTCCACTGCCGCTCTCCAAGGCCACTGCTCCAGTTAAAGGGAAATGGATGACGAATTCCATAAAGAAAAAACCTCAAATTTCTAGGTCTTTCGGGAAAACACTGAAAAAGTCAATATGACAAAAAGTAATTGCCATGAAATGAACATAGATTTGTATTACACTATTAAAAATATCTGGAAGAACATTAGAGTTTTTATTCGCTATCAAATATCTCACTGTTTAGAAACGACTCAGTTAACACAAGCTGACTGTCAAAATCAAGTAGAATTTGGCACATCATTAACTTATATGTAGGATTTTTTTGATCTTCCTTTTTACCTGTAAATGTTATTATTCAATATTATAGCAATTCCCCAGTAATACTGGGGTACAAAACAAAAATGGATGTACTTGATTTTTCTGCAGTTTTTTCTTGTAGCTGGTTTACTTCACAGCTACTTGTGCTCACATTCCTTTGAAAATAATTTCTGAGATCACAATGAGCTAACAGTGTGTTTACCTATTTATGTATATTGAAAAGCAATAACTAAAATCAATTATTTAAAACACAATAAATTGTGAGCTTGTCATTAAAAAAAATTAAGCATGAAATACTTTTAACTGTTTACAGGTATAGTGTTGTTCAAAAGCTGGTATTCTTACAGTCTGGGTCAGGCAGAAGTTATGTTAAACATGCTTCTAGTTAGCATCTGATGCGTACAACATGGAAACAGAGAGTAAAATTTCCAGTGATCAAGTGAGCACGATTCTCCACAGAGTCCCTAACCCTCAGATAAGGAGTGAATTCTTGTGGCAGGAAGAGAGCATGATGGCCATAAGATTTTAATTTCCTTGCCCTCAAATGTCAGTCTCGTAATCCAGAACCAGTGACAGCTGCTTCCCATCTAAAAAGCTTTAAAACAAAACCTACTTTGTTTTCAGAGCAAAACTGTAAACCTGATGAAATAAGAAAGCACAATACTTGGGGAATCTCGAGGTGGCCCAAGATCAGCGGTGACAAAAGTTATCAGTGTCCAGGCTTGTAAGTTAACTCTCACGAGAGGGGATGCAAATTCTTGTCACAGCTACGCATTTTCTCAGTTCATAGAACTGTGGGCCACATGTTTGGCAAAATAAATTTCCACACTCCTCCTGGTGCTAATTCAGTGACAGCTTCCTTTTCTGGTCACATTTTTACTATGTTTTGCTCAATTCTAGAACTGAATGACTTGACTTTTTAAAAAAAAAAGAAAAAAAAATCATACACTTTAAGATCAAGACAATGTTGAACGAAGCCATCTTAAAACATAATACTGAATATAAATTTTGTTGCAATGTCATTTTTCTTTAGTTTCAATAGCAGGCAAGCATTTAATTACTATCCCTTCTCTATATATCAAAAATTAAGGTCAAAAATACCTTTAACAATCCATTCCATCCTTTTGATAGGCACTTTACAGCTGCCGTTAGTGTTACATACTACTTCAAAATTCTGCTGTGGTATCTGTTCTCCCTGTTTTTCTATTACACTTGCAACACCGAACTATCTTCCACAAAGACAGCATTTAATAGGACTTTCCCCCCAGCTTTCTTGCTGATTTTTGCCACCTCACCAGTTTGTCACCATCTGACTAATCAGAGCAGCCTACTGGATTTATGTCAGGTGACCTCTCCTTCCACATAAACTATATTCACTCCCTCAGTCTTCTGTGCTCATTTTCTTAAGGTTGTCTCATTTCCTCTATTGACATCCTTCACATTCCCTTCCCCAAACTACCTGTCTGCTTTATACTTTACTGTATACAGAGGACTGCCATAATTTGGATATATTTCTTAAATGCAGTGTGTAGCACCTGACATTTCTCATATTAAAAAATACCACATTATGTAGCATCCAAAATTGGAACTTATTCCACCTGAGTTCTATTTCAGCAATTCTGGCACGCGTTTGGGATAAAAGCATATAATTCAGTACAGAAATACTGAGCCCATGATCCCATGGAGTTCTTTCTATACGACAAAATACACAGTATAGAAAAAGAAATGAAAAAACTATTACTAAAAATTGAATACAATTGATTTAAAAATGACTGTATCTTGCAGGCAAGCCTATCTTTCTTAGTACCTATTCTGTTTGAGCAGGGTCACGCCATGCCTTTTGAAGGACACAAACCTAAGCAGCTGCAATTTACATTCTGTTGCCATGATATCACTTGATTTAGTTGCAAGGAAAGGTTTTGCAGGCCCTGGAGCCTGACACAGTAGACAGTCACAGTACCAACAGCACGCCTAAAGCCCTTCTATCACCTCTTGACCACCAGACATCCAGCTGACAGCCATGGATTCGAGCCAGGGAAGGTTACATGAAAATGGCAACAGAATCTTACCTTCTGGCCTTTGATCCCAGGTGGGCCTGGAAAGCCTATGGGGCCTGGATCACCCTGCACAACAAAAAAAATCCGGAATCACTATGTTTCACTGGAACATGACACAGAGCTATAAACGTGTAGAACTTCATATCTTCTCTGCATTCTTTGACATTTGGTATGAAGAAGTAGCTAATGTTGGTTTATCAGCCATAGATTTTTCTTTTTTTAGAGGAAGAAGATTGAAAAGGCAACAGTTCCTCAACTGCAGGCTCCTGGTGCAATGTGCATGCTCCTGCATCATACAACATGACCAAATCATGGCTGGAACAGACTTCATTCACAACCTCACAACATTTACTTTTAGCCAACATAACTGGGAGTGAAGAAGCTATGCAATTCTTGAGGTGGTCCTTCCCTCAGAAGTGAGTAGTTTCACCTCAGGTAATATATATATATTTGACTATTACTGTTTATTGTTTGTGTTACTGTTATGCCAACAATCCTCAACCAGGAATCAGGACACCATTATGGTACGTGTTGCATAAAACACAGAGTAGATCTAATCCATGTAAAAGACAACATGAAAGATGCATATAGACGAAAGTGTTATGGTGGCATATGGCTATTCTCATGCAAGTTCTTTCCACCTCGCAACTACATGATGGCATACGTGAATGAGAATTAGAGCATCTCAAATGCTAGGGAGCAGGAAGAAGGTGCATTTTCTTATGGTTGTTGCAGTTGGGGGAGGAAGGAATGTTGTTCCAGTTCTTTTTTCTTTGCTCAGGACTGACAGTGAAGAGACTCACTCTTTCAGTATTAGTGCCCAAATTCAAAGTCAACGAACAGATCCTGGAAGTGAGTTTGCATCAAAGTAAATTTAAGTTCATTACTTAGGGTGAGCAAATTGACTTGGGTGAAAAATTAAGAACCCAAAATAGTGAGAACTATAAAAATGCATATCAATCCCATATTTTTGGATTATAGATTCATTATATGTGTATTTAGTTGGAGGTCATACATACACATTGGTGGGCTTTAGACTGTTCTGTGGCAGCTTGGGCTTATGCCAAAGAATATACCTTGATTTTCAGGTAGACACATATAGCTCACAACACTACGAGTAGATTGCCAAAAGCAAAAGCTGGTTAGGTTAAAATAATGTTGCTATTTCTACAAAAGCTGCACTTCAGTTTCTTATCAGTGCATCAACAGGCACATTTCTGAGTTTTGCTCAGCAGCCCTTTAACACTGAAAATATATGTTTGTGAATTTTAGGGTTTGACAGAATGTATGCATTAAAAAAATATGTTATTTTACGTACACATCAGCAGCTACTAAACAATAGTTATTTGCTAATGCTTGCTTCATTACAGAGAGTGGTCCTGGACTCCTACAGTGTTTTCTACTTAGCACAAATATTCCACAATTGAACTACTAGCAAATGCTTGTAGTAAGACTTAGTGTAAATAAAAGATATTCTAAAAGACATAGAGTAGGCTAACACATTAGAATGAAAATATGCAACTATATTTTTAGCATTATCACATTGATTTTAAAGTTTCATACATAGTCAATAGATTTGCAATCTAAAAATGAAATAATCACAAGCTTTCAAGCCCACAATTTCTATGAAGAACCATTTTAAATATTTATACTCAAATATTTTGGGCAGAGAAAGCAACTGCTAGTTTGGCTAAAGCAGCTTAGGAGGAACTAGCAAGAAAAGCCTCTGAAGTGAAAGGACAAACCTTAGCATCAACAGTCTGTTAAAAAAAGTGGTTAAATACAACACAACATGCAATACTGTGTGCACTTGTCATCATCAAATTTTGTCTGTCTTACACAACTTTCTATGGCAATGCAAGGTACTAAAGAAAACTGGAATCTGTACTTTGTTATATCAATGTGAACAGAATTCAATTTCATTGTTCTAAAAGTATTTTCCTTTTATTTTTTTTAATTTTATTTTTATAAATGAAACTGAATATACCATTTAAGTTTCAGCTTTCAATACAATTTTTTTATTTGTCTTTGCTTCATTACATCACCTGTGTCTGCACTGGTCAGTCTCACACAATTGTCAAAATACACCAGCGTCACAGTAAATACAAAGCATTGTGCTGTTATAACTTGTCTGAATACTAAACAAGACTTCAGCAAAAGAATGGGACAGACAAAACATTTTTCTATAATTAAGAAAATATTACCTTTTCACCACGTTTTGCCTGTCCTGGAGAGAATCCTGGGTCTCCTTTAGGGCCCTGTTGCAGAGAAGTTAAGTTCATTAATATCATCAGGGAAGAGAGTTTTTAATAATACACGTGGAAATATTTTCACTGTTATAGGAAGAGGAGGGGGAATGTTCATATAAAATTCACTTGTTATTACAGATTTGATTATGATTACAGATCATAACTTTTTCAGTAAAGAACTATGGCAAAATGTAATAGTGTGAGTTCACATTGAAATGAGATTTACATTTTCCAAATTTCATGTCACAAAATATTTGATAAAAAGATTTTATGGGTAAATCCGAGCAGGATTACAGCAGACACACCAGCTGAAATGCTCTCCCCGTGTCTCCACCACCTCAGGACACCACCTATTCCGCAAACACTGTGCAAGATTATCAGGCTATATTACTCCATTGATTATCATCTTGTCCAGGCTTCCTCACGCTCAGTACCTGCCCCACGCAGCGCAGACACTGCGGCTGGGAAGGACGGAGCTGTAAACACACAGCGAAGGCCTCTGTTCAATTACGAGTTACTTCCTAGCAGATGAGACAGCTCATCACTCCTGGCCAGAAGTTACTGTCTGCATCCAAGACTAGGCCGCAGAGAGGGGAAAGACGCAGCCACACTCAGGTCTCCTATTTCAAATCCCCGCTGCCAGAGCTCGCCGCCACACAAAGCGCCAGGCACTGAAGGCCGACACGCCACAGAGGCCTAGGGCCTGCCTGGGCCGGGAGCCAGGGCTGGCCAGCATCAGCCGGGGCTGGCAGCTAGCCCTGCAGAGCTGTTGGCCACAGGCAGCTCTCCCACCACAGCAAACCCGCAGCCCTCCTAGTCAAAGTTGCTGCCCTTAAAACAGGAGTCACCAGCAAAATGGTACCTCGTGAGGCAGCCCTGGGTGAAGTGCTTCACGCTGACCAAGCAGTCACCTGGGGGGTTCCCAGAGCCATAGGCTGAAACCACATTCATGCACTAATAACTGAAAATAAGGTAACTGAGGAGGAAATGGTGAACCCCTTGGTCTAATTCAACTAAAAGCTGCATGCAAAAGGCACCGTAACATTTCATGGATCTGTTTTATATAAATGGCACAGGCTGCAACAGTGCTCTTGATTTCAAAGCTGTAGAGTAAAACTGGGTGTTACTCACAAGTATCAAGATCTACTCTTCTCGCTCAAAAATACATTTTATGTAGCCAAGGAAATAAACGTTACTATTAAAGTTATCCCACAGCAGCTCTAGATTAAAGATTATATCTGCCCTCCATTGAAAGAGAGCTAAAGTTGGGAAAAACAGCTGTTTAGCCGTTGGCAGCACAATCCTACTCTCAGGGGCAACACTGGCTGCTCAGAGGACAAGCAGCGCGAGGCTTGCTGACGGTCAGCCATTTCAGACCCGTAACGGCCATGGCTCCTATCTGAAATGCTACGGGGCCTGATCATCCTCTTGCATACGGTGCTGCAGATCAGGGGTTATCCTTCCCTCTGCGGTTAAGATTTGTACATGTGAGGCCGCTTGAGAAACTAACCCTGTTGAATACTAAATAAAGCCTGGATATATCGCACAATGAATCTGTTGTGTTAAACTGATGTGTCAGGTCAGAGAGAACACCATTCTTCAGCATGGCAGGAGTTATCCGAGTATATTCCAGCTGATTCATCTTCCCGAAGGTAAATAGTTATCTTGCTTGAACAACTCCAATCTGTCTTCTGCTTCCATTTTCCAACACAGGCATATTAAACTAAGAGTTGTAATAAAATTGTGATCAGCTCTTGGCTAGTTAAAGCACAGGCCTCTGATAACTTACCCATAGCCTTTCCTTTCCCTTATAAGTATAATTAATTCCTCATTATTTTTAATTGAAAAAACAAACAGCCATTGTTATGCATGGCCTTCAGTTGTGGATTAACAACATGTCACCACAGGTCCAGATGTGAGGACAAAATAAAGCACTTAATTATTTAATCTACATAACATTACAGTGTAGTTATAATAGTGCCAGAATCCCCAAACTAGATTTTCTTAACTAATCCATTTTTCAGAGAGCCAGGAATACAGCCAAACTCATGAATACTTTTGAATTACTTTACAAACACCCATCAACTCTTTATCAGGAATTAAGTGCCGAGGACGTCAGCTGTCGGTTGGAACTGCTAGCACACATCCAGGGCTGGATACTATACTGTAAGGGTATTAGCTAATGTTGTTCCACACTTCAAAAGCAAGTACATGAAGGATACGTCAGCACAGGAGGGAAAAAACACATGCATCTCAAAGGCAGAATAAAATTCGGCATTAAGTTACTGCCAGAAAATTGTTTCAACTCGCCTACAATGTTTTAAGATCAAACAAAAGTATGTTTCGTTTCAGCTTACGTAGTGTGGGTCAACTGGATCATCACAGTCAAAACTTGGTGAGCACCTGGCTAGTTTTTATTTAAAGAAAAGTGTTTCAGAAGACACTTGTATTCATAGGATAATTTATATTCTAACAGAAATATTGTAAAAAATAATTATGAATCTCTAAGTTTAAGTGTTCCTATAGAACTAGATAATAACAAAAGCACACACAAAAAAAGAGAATCACTTGGTTTTACAGTGTTTGACACCAAAAACTTTATTAAATTTCTTTTTATGTCCTCAAGCAGTTTTTAACACCTGTCATGACAGGTCAGATTCCTACCATTAGGAATCGCACTAAAACAAATCATGGTTGCTGCTGGCTTTTTCCTAACATATCTATCAAATTGCTCAAACCAAATATGAGTTGAAGGCATTCTGCAACTGCACAAATCTGTCAAACCTATTTAAAGGGCCTACGTTACACAAGTTTGAAGGGTTTTATTTGAGCTTCCAGTCTACTATTTTTTCTTTGGTTTTATATATCACATCCATAAATCTTCAGAAAATTATTCTAGCATATTAATCAAGTAATAATGTCTGAAATATTAGAATATTTACATATGAAAGGTTGGGCACTGACAAAAAAAAAAGAGGAATTTCTAGAGAATGACAATATATTTTTCTTCCCCCTTTAAAAAAAAAAAAAAACAAAACAAAAAACAAGGCAAAAGGTTACAGCAATTAAATGTATATTCTCACTTAAATTCCAGTTTATCAAAGAGGCCAAGCTGATTTACAGGAACTCTTTTGGGAAGTACAGAATACTTGCATGGATAACAGTTTCCAGGTTATCATTCTGCACACACAGAGGTTTTTTTTTTTTTCCCCTGAATAAACTGCTATTTTGTTTTGATGTTCAATGTGATTGATTACATTTAATTAAAATATGTTTATAGTAACAGTCTCCATCTGTAAACCAAAGAAGGCCAATTGCTTCTATTATAGGAAACAATTCTGGGGCTTCCAAAAAGTCACTAAGAAGTTCATGTATTTACACAGAAATATGGATAAATTAACTCACCTTTGGACCTGGCAATCCTGGCAAACCTGGATTACCATGTGGTCCTGGAATACCCTATAAAAAAAACAAAAAACAAAACAAAACAAAACAAACAAACACAAACAAAACAAACAAACAAGAGTGGGATTATTCAGTACTCCACTTAACAAGTGTGAACAGTTTGCAGAGAATCATTTTACTGCATCATTGTTGCTTTTAGAAGCCCTGGTTGGGATTTTCAAAGGATTCTCAAGAAATAAAAGATGTACATCTTCCTAAAAAATTAAAAGTGAAGTTGAGTACTTCCCTTTCTTTTAAAAAAAATCTCAGCTTCTATCGTGTTCCCAAGTAATTCTTAACAGGTATTTGGCACACAGTCACTGCAATGTTTCTCCCCAGCTACAAAACTTGGAGGCACGGGATAAAATCAGAAAGAACACATTCTGAGGTACCCAGCTATACACTGCAAAGAGAAGGAAGTGGATCAGTTCTCACTGGCTTAAAAAGATGACTCAAAGCAATGTGTTCCACCTTCTCTAAACAAATCACAGATAAAAACCCTTCACCAACCTGATTCTCCCACAGCCAATGTAGAAAATGGGCTTATTGCTAAAAGAGTTGGACTTAAACCATTCCAGGAGCAGAAAAGGCTATCAGGACTATCTACGCCTTCCAGGATAAGTGTCTGTTCCTGCAATACACTCGGCAATCCTCGTTCCTTGACAAACTGCGCATTAGGGAAAATATTTGTTGCAACGGCTGTCAGCAGCTGTTCATCTTCCAAACACGGAAGGACCAAACTGGTGAAAAACCTATCCCTGGTAAGTTGGCAACAAAGCTTTTTTGAATTCACTAAGGCCAAAATTCCACCTGAACAATTAATCCAAATGCCAAACATAATAAGAATCCTTTTCTGCTTTCTCATATATTCAGTGGTCTTACAACAGATAAACTCAGTGTTTGTCTTTCCCTCACATGAGACTGAATTTACTGGTTATACCTTGCAGTAACACTGAAAGCTGTATCTGTTAAGTGCTCCCTCTCACTAATGAGAACGTTGACATAACTCCACAGAAATGTTAAACCCATGTGCTGTTTGAGAGATTAATTTGCACACTGGCAACTTTGGAGGCGCTCTCAGGGATTTAGGAGAAAGGAAACAAATAGGAAGTGCCAACGTAGCTGCAGTGCTGAAGTGGCTCCTAGCTTTTGCTGCTTGCAATGTTATCTTGGGGCATAGTACCGCAACACAGAGGTGCAAAAGTATCCTTGTGAAATGAGAGGCATCAGGGGAATTTAATCTCATCACTGACCAATCCTGAAATCATTGAAATTTCATTATTGAGAAATTCAGAAAAAGCCAAGACACTTAGGAAACCTTAACTGTCAGATGTGGACTTCTCTACCATACAATTACAGAGATCAAAATTGGTTTTTAATGGAAATCTCTAACCATTAATCAGGCATTGATACCATGCCCAAAGTGTCCAACCCATGTGAATCTCTGTCAGGATCAAGTTTGGACGCACACCTGAGAGACCCTGAAGAAGGCCCGGGCAATGCGGCTCTGCACTCTGCTGCTTCTCTTCGACACCTCGAGTCACATTTCAGGATCACAAATGGCAGCTCATGCGAAGGAAGACAGAAGTCACAGGGCAGACTGGTAGATGTGGACATGAACTTTGCATCAACAAGGTTTTACGTGCTTTTTGGCTCAAAAACCTCCTCTATCATACCATGTGTCTTCACTGGCTATACTTGCTTGAATTTATCAGTGTTGTACAAACTAAAGAGCACTGACATTTCAAAAAAATTTATTTCTTTGATCAAACAGTTTTATAGACTTTCTTGGCCCATATAAATATGTATTTTAAACTCAGAACTACTGGCAAATATTCATCTCTGCCATTTGCATACTTTTCCATGCACCCTACTGTAAGCTGTCTCCTCACGTCAGAAGGCATGTCCTACTCAATGATTAATCCAGAAAACTCACACAGTAGAGCTCTGTGCTCTTAAGTACTCAATACCTGTAAAAAAAGACCTGCAGAAAACAAACCCCAAACAATCAACAACTGAGCAAGAGAGATCTCACGAACAGGCATGGCTTTAAACACGTGGGCAGCCTCCTCTGAACCAAAAAGAACTTCGCACTTGTGAGGATCTACTTGGGTATGTGGGATCCTGCCTCTGACGCTAGATGTGTCCTCGACAGAGGCACTATGCAACATAAAAAGCTGAGTTGTAAGAATTGTCAGCTCTTATGTAGAAGGATAATTTGTAAAAAGGATCCAAGAAGTCAGGAAGATACGGATTTGAAGGAATAATTTTAATTTTATACTTTTAAATGTATACTCCCTTGTCTCCAACTGCTCTAAAGCATCAGTTTGGGTTTTGGCCCCTTTGACCCGTATACTTCCCTACCCAGTCAGACCAAGTTTTGAAAGCCAGCAAAGCACAGGATGTTCAACACACTGTTGAACAGCAGCTTGTTTAAACGTTCCTCAAAGGCTGAGTCAAAACTCCTCCCACACGTCTGCTGAGCCTTCATATAAACTGCTCCCTTGTCTCCCATTTGCGATTTGCCCAGATGAGTGCACTCCAACCATAACCACTTACATCCCCAAATACCATGGACCGAAATATTCTACACAACAAATGCTAACCTGTTGCCTCCAGCTGCCCTTCCCCTAAACCCCCCCAAATCAACCACGACCTCAGGGACTCTTCAAGCCTTTTTTTTTTTTTTTTTTTTTTTTTTACACAATTGTGCAAACACAGATTTACCCTCTTTTGCTCCGCCAACTAGTCCTTGCAGTGGCCCATGCTCTTGGCAGCTGGGTCGCAGGTTCCTGCACACTGCAGCAAAGCCTGTGCTCTGTCCCCGGCACAGGGCAAGGCTGCTGCCCCGCTCATGTTGGGGTACACCCAGTCACTCAAAATAAATCAATGTTTGCTACTGTAGCTCATTTCTTGGGCAAATTACCCAGATATCTATGACCCCTTTTATCAAGCTGCTGTAACACAAGAGACTAAACCAGATTTTTGGGAGTGTTTTTTTTCCCCCTCTGTCTTGCAGTGGTTAATTTTGCATCCACCGCCTGCTCTGTGGCTGTGGCATGCATTGCTCACTCCCCCTCACGCCATAAACAAATGAACATGACCTTAGATTGCAGCAGATGGGAGCAGCATGGAAAAACTAAAAAGTTAATATTGTGAGCAGCAAAAGCTAGGTACAAACGTAACAATGCTCTGTGTACGCACCCATATGCGGAATTAAATCTGCTGGAGGCTCACAGCAGAAAACAACTGTTTGCTTTGCCTTACTTTAACCTATCTGCCAAATGTTAAGAATCATACACTTTCATAATCACCAAGCATACAAATAAAGTTGAGAGAAACAAAATTATGCAAACTCCAGTTTGATTATTGGTGACCTGCCTAGAGCTACAGAAGTACATAGCTGTTTTACTCACCCGAGGACCTCTCTTCCCTGATGGACCAGGTAAACCTGGAGGACCTGGAGGACCCTGGTGACAGAAAATCAAAACAATTGAGGCTAAAACCCGATACAAGGTCAGTATCACAAGTCTGAATCAGACCAATTCTTCTAACTGATGACTTTCTGCTCGTGCAGACCTTCTCGGCGTGAAAACCAATTCCCAAACTACAAGCACGTGTGTTTTCAATCTGGCTCCAAATCAGATTTCTGTTTAGAAAGTATCTTATGTCAGAGGAATTGGAGCTAACAATCTAGACAGTAACTTTTACTTAAGTGTATTTATATTAAAAGAAGAAGAGATCAGTTCAAGGATTAGAAACAAGCAAGTGCAGTGTATTTCAAAACAAAGAATAGAGAATTATTAAGCCTCTTTAATAAGCATTTTAATAAGCATGCCAAACACATTTTAGCAAGTCAGGAGTAACTGTGGAAAAAATGAGATACCACCTCACAGAAAAGACAGACATGAAATAGAAGAAAATAAACGTGGACAAATGATTGTTCCGTTTCCTATAAAAAGCTTCTGATAAGAATAACTGGTAGCATGTTTGTCCTTGTACATAATGATTTATCATTCTGTTTAAAGAAAATGAAGATGTTTTAAAAATACTAGTATATAACCAGATGTATCTTTTGCAAATAAATTAGATTATTAGTCACTATAAGGGTATTAGGCAGTGTACCACCCTCTGTATACCTAGTTGTTTTCACCATAGAAACCTTTCCTTTTCTGTATGTGATTGGTGTTCACATTCAAAACTCCAGGATCTACTTCATTGTATTCAAATATGAATGAGAGCTTTAGACTAAAATCTGCACTAATTTATATTACATTTCATCTATCACACTTGAGTCCCAAGGAGGCATGGGCTATTTGTAAGGGTGAATTCCCATCCCCAAAAAGGGATTCAACTTGCTCTTTCACCCAGGCTTCCTCACACTCCTGTGTTCTCTATATACCACAGCCTCTCAGCTGAGGCCCTAGGCAAAACACCGAGTGTCACCAAACACCACTGCTGAAAGCTGGCAGGGATACCAGGGAAATCAGAAGGGCAACTATGGTGGCTGAAATGGCCAACTTGCAGGCTTTGCAAAAAAGGAAAAAGAAAAAAAGGAAAAGAAAAGAAGAGAGAAGGGGGAAAAAAGACAAACACCCTTTCGGGTTTTATTAGCAAGCAACGAATCATTTTATTAAGACAAAAGTTGCATTTTCAAAAACCTCAAGTTTTGTGGAAGTTATATTTCTTTTTCCTTGGAAAGATAACGTCACTGGCAGAGAAGACAGCGCTGATTATGGACTTTAGGCACTGTCAAGTCAATTACATTCATTTGGCCAAAATACAGACCAGTTTGGACAATCCTGGGAAAAACACTGTTGTTCCAAGGAAGGAAAAAAAAAAAGATCTTCCTCTCCAATTAATCATAATAATGTTAGGAATCTAATTATAGTGCAACTGCCTGTTTATAGTTGGGAATATTTGTATGTCCATACATACTGCATTAAGTCATGCTGAAACCTATACCCTGCACTTCCCTCTCTGTGTAATTTAGAAGACTCAAATCTGTGTTACAGTCCCGGTCTTTACGTCAAACCATAACATGTCATACTTTTAGTATAGGAGGTTTGCTATTCAGCCTGATTACATAAATGCTCACTAGCATCCTATTTTTCTAAAGTAAAAAGACCCCGTGTTTAATAATAAAAAAAAAGAGTAGCAGACAGACACAAAAAGCTCTTGACCTGGCATTATTGTCCAGGTCCAAAAGGGTACCTGAAACAGCACAGAGAGCTCCTACCCTGCCACTGCTAAACTAGTATGCTTTCTAATCTCTCCTCTCAAATTGTAAGAGATGCACTTTGCTTAGAAAATTATCCTGGGACTACAAAGGGAAACATACTATATTTTTTATTAAGTAAAATACTTGCAACTAGTGTGCGTTCTTTTGCGATTTGTGGTACAAAGTCCTTCTCTATCTCTATTTCAGACACTCTCTACATTTCCTTAAAAATAACATTAATAGCCAATCCCCACCATTTTCCTAATAGAAATCTTAGTGAGTATTTATTAACATCCTTGATCTTTGATGCTGATTTACTGAATGAGGGCAGTGAGAACATTCTTCTCTATGTGACTTTTTAATTTTTTTTTAAATAGTACCTGCTTCCTTTGCCGAAAAAAAAAACCACCACCAAAAAACCCCCCTCACTTCGATTACACGAATTCATAAGTAATTATCTCTCTTCATCTAAAAAATACAAAACAAAGAAAATCTAAGCACAACCAAGCCCTCTGCAACCCCTAAAAGAAGCAGTAATATATATTTTGAACTATGCAGCCAGAGATGAATAATATTTTCTCAAGGCCTTCTAAAATGAAGTCAACCATTGTAGATGAAGTCTCTGGTTAACAATAATTAGGAATTAGCAACAGCAATCCAGGTGTTTGATTAAAGTATTAACAAGGACTCTCCCTAATCAGAGTACATTACTCCTTGATCTCCAGCTTAGACTCCTCCCTGCAACTCAAGCAACATCTCTGCTGACAGCAGACTTAGTAGAGCACACCTAAGTCTTCCTGGAAATGCTTTTCCGACTAGTTGTAAGAAGTTATTCTATCCTATGTACTTCTTTAACCTGTGAAAGAAACAACTTCAAATCAGCACGACTGCTTTTGTACTAGCTAGGAAGCCTAGCCTCTTAGGCATCCATGTAAGCCACAGAAGTCAACTTCTGAGAGCGAGCCAATCTCTCAAACCAAGGAATTAGTCATTTGTTTGAATAGCTTTTCCTCCAACTACTGGAAACAGTAATTAAACAAACCTGAAGCAATTAAAAGTGTTAATGTGGTTTTTGGCACTTGACATTTTAACCACCAACAAAAAGATAGAGACTTTGGGTAAATATTATTGATACAAATTTAAAATTCTTTAATGAGATCAGTTTGCTCAAAACGGCTCTTATGTACCTTAAGAAAGGTACTACAACTTACTGTCCTTAGGAATTGTGAAAATTACATTTAGCTATTGAGGGGACAAGCTCAAGTTCCAAAAAATCATGGCTTAATCCTGAAATAATAAAAGTAGATGGTACTCTTCCAGAAATTTTCACTACCTTTCAAATGGTCATTGCGATGAATGTAATGGTGAACTTTCACAGACTTTTTCTAGGATACTGAAGCCCTTCTATGGATGCATGTGTTTTAAACTTGCCCTACACCAGCGGTAATAGGAAGCATTTCATTTACATATAACAAGCCCCTAAGATTTCAGAGGCACAGCAGTAAATTCTGCATTAAATAGTTAAAACTTCTGCACAGGCATATGTGGATCCTGTTGCCATTCAATACCTAAATCATATTCACTGAAGTTTCTCTTGCAAAACAACTGTGAAGTTTCTCTTTAAAAGGCATTTGACTACACCCCAACCACTCAACCTCAGCTCACCTCAAACGCTTTTTTAAAAGACTAAATTCAAGAAACATACGAGTTTAATACTTGATCCATCAAATACCTAAGGCAGGCGGTCCTTCAGCAAAACGAAAGAGACATGAACTTTTCTGCACATCACCACCAAAATACCTGAAATACAGCAGGGAAGTAAACAGAAACATCAGGCTCCAAAACTCTTCTAAAAAACTCTCCACAAAAGGAAATTCCACTTCTAACATTGCTAGTACCACTTGTTCTATCGTGCAGGTATCACTCTGATCAGCCATGTTTTCCTTATGTCCCACCTAAAATTTCCTACTCTGTCTTGCCATACTTTCTGTGAACAGGCAAAAAAGTATCTTTATTAACTCACCCTTGGCAGAACTATAACATTTGTCTCTTACTTTCATTACTAAACACACTTTCATTTTAACCTTTACTCAGAATCATATTTTCTATAACTGCACCACCGTCACTACAACCTTCTGCAGTCCTTCCAGTCTGTCTATATTCTTTTTAAAGCTCATCATCCAAAACTGAGGACGCTTCTCCAAACTGCAGCCTCAGCATACCCAAAACAGCAGAAAAATAGCCTGTCTCTGATACTCACCACTCCCGGTAATGTATCAAGCATCACAGTGATAAGATGCATTTATTCTCTAGTGCACTGTAACATCACTCTATCACCTTCATCTGACTGCCTAACCAATCACTCCCCCATCCTCTGTTTGTACTTTTAATTTCTGTACTATTGCACCAAGTTTCATCCCATCAGTTTTAGACCATCTGGAATTCTGATTCTGTCACTCAGAATTCTGCTACCTACTCCTAGCATGCTTCGTCTACCTTTTTAAAGCATGTTACTTCATACAGATATCAATTTAATTATTGAGCAACAAGGATCCTACCAAACATGAACACCCACCTATTTTTTCTTCTTGCTTCATTTGCATTTCACTGGAAATGATAAAAAACCCACATGCTTCTCTTTCTAAATGCCCTAGAGCAGGCAGGCACTTGTGTATGATTAACTTCCTTTCTTTACAGCTGTGGAAGCCTTTCCCTTTCTCTGTCAAGAATTCCTACAACAGCCAAAGCAATGTCATCAACATCAGAGGAATATATATATGGCTTTGGGTTATAGATTAAAGCTTTTCAATATTGTTGTGCAGACGATAGCGAAACTGCATCAGTTCCAGGTGAATTAAAAGAAATGTTTAAATATTTAAGACTAACATTATCTTTTTGCTACTAAAACAGCAAGAATCTTAAGTATCTGAATCAGCCGATACTGAGATAGATTTCTCAGCCTGGGTAGAGAAATGTGAGGGTTACCTGCAGAGCTAAAATGCGTGAAAGTGATTAACTGCCCAATATATCCCCTGTGGCTAGGGAGAGCCGCAGCAAGCAATTTTGTTCCACTGAGAAATAAGTTAAGAGTGAAATCCCTGCTGACGCTACCCTTACTGCAATTCATTTAGCACCACATTTAGGATCTCTGAACTGTCCTCTTTTGGGGTTCTTACCCTCACACCTCTTGGTTGGAATAAGAACATCTCATCCAGGACTCGATTCTGCCTAATGCAGGGCTTGCACTTCCAATTCCTCCTGGCAGTATCTACAGACTGCTTCTCCTTACGAACCAGATAGCCTAAGGAACACCACCTTTTGGTCTTCTACTATTTCTCTTCCTGGCTGAGTGTCTTCATAATCCAGAAAGCTTTTTCCAATAGAGAAAACTAATTCCTAGCTCATTTCTCAGAGGAAGCCAAATCCTGTGCAGATAGGCCTGCCGATGCAATTACCTACCAGCAACTAACATACATCAGCTCTTCAGCTCACATCAACCCCTCCTTCTCCCAGTGTGGGACTATGTATCACGTTACTGCAAACTGCTATAGAACTGTGCCGTGAAGAATATCAGTTTGAAAGTTAAACAGTTAAAAACACACCAGATTTATTTTTTTTTAATCTTTATACAGTGCCAACACCCTCTGCAATACAAAAAGCAGTGGTTCATCAGATGAATGGAACATCTTTCCCTCTAAACTAGTGGTTCAGGAGACCACACTGTTCCACTTTTAACTCACCTTATATTTTTGTAGGGGATTTTGGTCATTGCAACTGCTAGAATTTTAATCAGGGTCTTAATAGTTTTGAAGAAATAGGTGCCCTTTTCCATATGCTATCCATAAATTAAAGCCTGAATTCTGGAGCCCTGCTTTGCAGCGGTGGGTGAATTCCACAGCTGTGGGATCATGGAATACAAGGGGCCTAATTATACAAGGCAAGAATCAGTTCTGGTAGATGATTAAAAGCTAAAATGAAGCTGAGGAGTTTAAGAACCACAAAAGCTAGTTCTTGCCTGTCAACTCCAATAGAAGGAACATTATTTCTGTGTTGAGATCTTGAAAGAAGGTTCAAACCAACCACAACATAATGAAAGAAGGAAAAAAAAAAGGGGGGGTGTTCATGCCTCGTCAGGATTTTTTGCTGCAAAGGAACTTTGCAAGTTCCTCGGTGTTGCTTTTTTAGGCTCCCCACTCATAAGACTCTGTGGGTACTTATGTATTAAAGTGTTAGAGCCATACAGATAAAAGCTGGATTATCTCTGGTCTTCTCTACATGGATGTAGTAGACTGAGAAAGCAAACCAAGACCACCTCTTCAAGTCTGAGGCCAACAACAGTGGCAGGTACTGTGCCATGCAGCCTCCGTGGAGCACAATTCTTTCCAAAAGCCTGCATGGAAAAGGCCACGCAGAGGCCTCTTCTCCCTTCGGCATCAACCTCTCTGGCAACACAATGCTTTAGCTTTGCCTCTGTTACAGTGGGTGCTTCTGGCCCCTTCAGCCAAACTAGTGCCCACAAAGGTCTAGATTAACTTCCCAGCTCTGCCACAGATCTCTAAGACCTTGGGTATGTTATTTAAATCCTGACCCAGCAATACATTTCAGCACAAATGCACCATATTCATCGCTACAAACTATACCAAACGCAAAGTCTGCTCTAGCTGCTCTCCTAGATGAAACAAACTTCTGTGTCCCCAGCCTGTAAGAGAAGCATATAAAACAGTAACATAGAAATCTTTGAACTCTCCAAATCAGCTATCATCTTTGACACTGTAGGTATAATGTCTGTGTCTAGAAAAAAAACAGAGCATTTGCTTGGAGTTTCTTAGTAACGCAAACAACCAAAGCATTATCAGCTGCCATTTCTGTGCCACGTAAAAAAGAATGGATTTAACTTTCTTGGCTGTAACTGAGTGAAATCACAATGTCCAAGCCATGTGCTAAAATTAAAAGCTTCCCTTAGTAGGTACTAAACATCCTAAGCTCCAAAAATGAAAATTAACCTCACATTGATGACAGCTACATACTTAGTGATATGTCCCCATAAATACTATTGCAAGGGACAAAAAGAGAAACAAAGACTGACTTCACATTCAGAAAAGATTAAGCAAGAGCACCCTGGACTAATGTGAATTACTTGTTATCACATTTTTCAACTGTGTAACAATCCCTTTGCATCTAGATCCTGTTTAGAGTAAAAATTGAACTTTTAAATAGGTTTTCGGTTGCTGACTACCTTAAGAAAAAAATATTTCAGTGCTGAAATAATACACGCAATAAATTTATGGCCACATTCAAATATATATGAGGAGCTGCTTAACACATATCAAATTGCTTTCCAGTAATAACCACACAAATGCACACACACACAAAAAAAAAAGAAGAGCAAGTGGAATTATTTACTCCATGCTATGGTTTAAAAATTTTAACCAAAAAAAAATCAAACAAGCACTAACTATCATATTTCCCAGGCTAAGTGGGAACTGCTGTTCTTTCTTTTCTGTACCTTCATATATACTGCTCCCATTTTTATGTATTAAAAAGTTTATGAGCCTTGTGCACACAATAAAAAAGGACAAATGGGTTTCTATTAAAAGCACTACTGTGCATTTGCAATTGTTTCAGGAATCATTTACCTTGTGAACTAAAAAAATGCCACAAAATCTTCTAAGACTGTTCTAAAAATCATTTTACATGCAGGTTTGCATGACCTTGTAACCTTGGGTTACAAATGGTTTTACCAGTCTAGATTCTGCAACTGGTCTCTTTCTACAATTATGAATTTTGATGGCATTGCCCAACTGAGAAAACTATGTCAGTCTTCCAGACAGCCTGGTTGTTCTTTTCATGGATCAGTGTCTACATTTGGGTACTGTATGAATTTACCCTGTAATTTTATTAAGTGAGCAGTCTCCATAATTAGCAGTTACAAACATTTGGCTGCATTTCAAAATTTTAAAGAAGTCTGGGTTGCCTACCATTTCACCAGAATGTGAATGTCTTCAATGTCTTTGCATTCTGCCAGTAAATAAAAATATACAACACTTACACCAAAATTACATGCGGGAAAGAGACATACTTAAGGCAGACAAACATTTGTACAGTACAGCCGGGAGAAGTTGCAGTCACAGCTTTGGCATGCTTTGCGAGGTTTCTTTCAAAGCCTCTCTTAAATGTATGTTGCTGCGTTAAAGTAAAAAGAGTAGTAAAGGTAACTTACAGGAGGTCCAGTTTCCCCCTTTGGACCTCTGACACTGCCCATTTCAAACATTTTGTCAAGATCTTCATAGTCATAAGCATAATTATCTATACCAACGTCATAACTGTTGTCCGTGTGGTAAGTCTCATCAGCATCAAATGCACCTTCCTGCCCTGGACTGAGTTGATTATCCAGCGAGAGGTCAGCAGGCAAACCGTACAGGGTTGCGTTGATGATTTGCTGCTTTGTGCTTGGTTCATTTAAATGCTGTTTTGCTTTGTCCATTCCCTTGCTTTTAGCTTTACTCTGTTTTACAGGGGAGATCAGAGTAGGCTCACTTTGTCTGCCTGCATCTTCTGTGGCATTATCTAAAGTATTTGGATATGATCCTGCGGGGGTTTTAGTGATGTTTTTCTTTTTGCTCGTCTCCTGCTGATGAAGAGGCAGATTGACGTTTTCCTGGAGTTCTGTTTCAGGCCAAGCTTCTAGCAGCAGAGGTTTGGCCTCTGGAAACTCCGATGCAGAGACATTTCTTGACTCAAAGTATTCTGATAGAAAGTGAATCTGAGCAACATTGGTTACAGGAATGTTTGACGTTACTTCCTTTCTATAAGCTGATACGCCCTCTGACTGTTTTTTCTCATCAGTCGTCATCTTTGAAAAAACATCCAGCCCATCTGACACATGTGGAGCTCCTAGCAGAGATCGATACGTTTCAGCCTGGCGACACTGCTGTTTCACGTATTTACAATAGTTTGCAGAGGCTTCTGCAGAGGGAATAATATCTAGCTGACATATAACTCCTTCAAAGCTGACAGAGTGAGAGTTCATCCTTCCCAGGGTAAATAAACCATCCAAATCAAATGTCTCCACTTCAGAATGTATTTCCCTACTATAGTACTTCTTTCCGCACTCAGCAAATACCGAGACAGCCTTGTCTCTAATGTCAATGGCAAATGAATGCCATTGTTCATTATGAACACTATAATCAAAGTATACAGACTGCTTCCCTCCAGTGTACACCACTACCTTTCTCGGTAGCAACTGGACACCAAACTGCAGTCTACTTTTGTTCCTAATACTGAAAAGGAAAGCGTTATTTACTCTGTAAGAGTACAACCCAACTAATATGGTGAACTGATGCCCTAGATTTGATGGTATGACTTGAGCGATGGGGGACTCAATATGTGCATCACCAGTTAGTACAACTCCTGATACGGTTAGACGAACACCCTGAGGTAACAGAGATGATGTTGAGGGCACTGTCGTCTCTGAGGGCTGTTGAATGTCTTTCACAAGGCCTAGTTGATGAAGAACATCTATTGCTGTAAAAAGAAATAAAGGCATACTGTTGATTTCGTTTACAAGCTCATAAATTCAGATCCATATAAACAAATGTATGCACAGCATCTTAACAAATCTGTACTTCCCAGAGCATATATACTGCACACAGCAAGGACACCAAATCCCTAGTGTAAGGCACACCAATCTTTCACATAAATCAAACAAATAATTAAAGCCAGAAAAAAACTTCCATCTTTAAAAAACAAAACAAAACAGCAAACCGCACATAGGAAGGTCCACATAATGCCCATTGCAGGGCAGTTCATTTATGAAACTGAAAAATCCCTATTTGCCGTCTTTAACTTTTTCACAGTAGTCAATGAACACACTTTGTTAGTTCCTTATTTATTTGGCTAATCCTGCCTACTCTTTGAGCAGATAATTTTTTTTTTAAACTTTAACTTTTTCTTCTGCAAAAACCTTCTGCAATAAAACCATGCTTTTCCTCTTTATCAAAAAAGTTTAAGGGAAAGTATGAATGAACAAAAAAGTTTAAATGAAAGTATCTAGGGGGAAGGTTGCTTTGTTTTTAAGAAGGCACAAGCTATTTATAATATATATGTGTATATATATAATATATATATGTGCTTATGTGTAATATAATATATTATATTATACTATAATATATAGTAGCTACTATGTGCTGCAGAGGTAACACAACTGGTACCCGGGAGGAATTGCTGTGCTTCCACCAGGGAGCTTTCCTCCTGCCAAGCAAGGCCCTCTGCCATTACAGAGCTGGCTTCAAAGGGAATTGTCTTCCCCATGGGATCACCCTTGATAGTATGTATTTGTGCCAAACTTACTCAGATTAAAAGAAAACAAAGACCTTTCCAAGGGGAGATGCACAGTGCGCCACAGCCTCCTTTACTTCCACACAATTTACTTGTTAGGGCCAGGGATGAGGTGAACTCTGCAGAAGCAGCAAGGAACAAGGAAAGAGGAGAAATGCCAGGACCCAAGGGGCAGCGCTCCCATCTTCTGGCTCATCTGTCCTTCCAGCGAATGCAAGGCTGCAGCTACCCAGACAAGATATTGAATTAAGAGTGCACTCCACAGCAGGAGACAGCAGTGGACATTAAGGAGACAGAGAAACCAGCTGTCCTACTGATTTACGTCCTATAGATTCGGCTTTGGCATATAGAAGTCAGCCTGGCTGAACAGAGAGCTTTGGCTGGAACTTGGGAAAAAAAAGGAGAGTTTATGACCTTTGGAAGAAGGGGCAGGCAACTCAGGAGGACTACAAGGGTGTCGTGAGGTTATGCAGGGAGAAAATTAGAAGGGCCAAAGCCCAACTAGAACTTGATCTGGCTACTGCCATAAAAGAGAATAAAAAACATTTCTACAAATACATTAGCAACAAAAGGAGGGCTAAGGAGAATCTCCATCCTTTATTGGATGCGGAACATAGTAACAAAAGGATGAGGAAAAGGCTGAGGTACTTAATGCCTTCTTTGCCTCAGTCTTTAATAGTCAGACCAGTTGTTCTCTGGGTACCCAGCCCCCTGAGCTGGAAGGCAGGGATGGGGAGCAGAACGAAGCCCCCATGATCCAAGGGGAAATGGTTAGCGACCTGCTACACCACTTAGACACACACA